TTATTGACGACAGAGCAGAGCAGGAAGGGTCCCACCGCACACAGCGGCCAATGTAATAAATACACGACACAGCTGATTCGTTGTACATTTCAAACTTGAAAATTTTACTCTTCATCATGATATGCAGTGTGTTATGTGCATGCTAATATTATATATTTTTTTTAATAAAATTAAGATACAATACTATATATATTTTGGTTCTATTTTTTAATTATTATTGAAATTTATTTTATACAATGTATGTTAATAATTAATGTCAACTTTTATCATATAGAATTATTAAAAAAAATTATAATTTTGCTCAACAAAAATAATGGTAAAAACACGTATAGAATCACACTTAATTTTTATTATTAATTTTTAACTAAACATGTGTCTGAAATTTAAAAAATACTCTGAATTAAGGGTATAAACATGTTAAGTTAAACTAAGTTTAAGTTTAAAAATTAATTGTTTGAGTAAATACAATGTGGTCTTTGTAGTTACATAAAAATAAAATTATATTTTTTAATGGTATTTTGAATGAGAGAGAAGTTTTAGATTCTATTATTCTGAAGTCTTGGAAATGGCTATCACTTGTTAGTAAGGGAGAAACTATTAATTGTTAGTTGATTGGTATTTGAACCCATATTCGTCTTAACTTTGTATAAATATATTTTTACTTTTTATTTCTCTGAGTTAGTAATTTTTTCTGTGTATATAAATTTTGAGTTTCCTTTGAACTCTCTCTAATAATATATGTTTTGCCTATAAAAAAAAGTTTAAGTTTAAATATTATAAAAATTAATGTTTTTAAAATTGGGTAGGTTCATGAAGATATAGAAGATTTAGTTCATAGTTGAATAGTTTAAGCGTAATTAGAGACATCTTAGGATATGTTTGGAGAATGTAAGGTTTGAATCTCAACTTCGATCAATTTTAAAGGCTCAGCCACAATCGGCCTAAGCATAAGGTTGCTAAAGCTAAGGTTGAGTCTCCTAAAATTAATATTAAATGTTAATTTTTATTTAAAATAAATAATATTAATTAATATATAATTAATAAAATTAATGTTTTCATCTTTTAATTCAAAATAAATTTTAATTTCACTCTTTTAGCTTTATTTTAATATATTTTGATCCTTTAATTATTCAAAGTGCTTTAAATTTAACTTGATTAGGCATGATTTCAAACTATAACTCCATTTCGGGTTTAAAAATTAAGAAATCATGTCTTTTGTTTAAATTATTAGAAGAAATTATATTTCTTAAAAATAATGTTACTATGATTTAATATTATTCTTTATGTAAAATAATGAGTCGTTCATGTAAAATATAATTTTAAAAAAATGTTTTTCATCAACGGTGAGGATATTTCGGTCGTCCCCAAACTATAAGCACTAAAAGCAAATTTGGAAGATTGCTCGTAAGGATGACAATCGAATTAAACCTAATAATTAAAAAATTATTTGCAATGGTTATCTAGGATTGAATATAGATTGTTACCCATACCGTATAAGGTATTTTTTATAAGAATTTGAACTTTTAGAATATTTTTTTAATTAAGTTAAAAAAATTATTAGTTAAACCTTATAATTAAGAATTGAATTATCTTGAAATATTTTTTACTTTTTAACTTACATATTTTACTTTTAATCAATGTTCTTTTCATTATTTTTACCGTTAATATTAATGTTGTAACAATATTTATGTTTTTTTAGCTTGTCAAGCAAGCCCATAATGAAAGACCAATTCAACTTAATTAAAACACATATAATGGGTTTAGACGATGTAATTGAACTTGTACTCACATGAATGAGTTTAGGTATACATTTTTTTTAATATGAATATTGGGATGAATTAGTGTGAATTAAGTATCATAATTTTTTAATTAAGTATTATACCTTTTTTTTATTTATAATTACTTAATATTTGGTGATATGATGAAGCAATTATTGAATATAAGACTCATTCTATTATTAATATAAATGGCTTTTTTTAATGTCTTTTAAAAAATAAAATTTTAAAATAATATTTTTTAAAAACATATTCTCTATTTGGAATTTTTTGTTACGTCGGTAGTTATTTCGTCTATTGTCTTGATGAAATATTTTTTTTTATTTTTTAAATATTATTTCGTCTTTAATAGAGATAAAATTATCAGATTATACCATGTATCATTATATGGTGAGTTTCATCTCCAACAGAGACGAAACTCGCAGAACTGCGCTATATGTTATGTGTAGATCATTTTACGAAACTGATTAAGAAAAAGAAAAAAATTATATTGTAATATTTAATTAAAATTTATTAAAATTATAAAATTATAATATTTAAGAATAACAAATTATATAATTTTTAATTAACTTAATTAACAACTATAAAAATATTAAAAATATATATTGAGATTACACTATGTATACTGTATGATATTAAAGAAAATATCTGCTAACAAAATTATAAATTTAAAAGCAATTGTCATTTTAAAGTGAGTCACATTTTTTTTCTCTTTTCAAATTAGTTTTGTAAGTTAGATGTGATATTAAAAAAATTTAATAATTTATATAATAAATATGTATTTCTTTATTTTTTTTATAGATATTTAAACTAAAGTTAACAAAATCTTAACACTATATTTTTAATATATTTGTAATTTTTAATTAATTTAATTAAAAATATATAAATTTTAATAATTTATTCTTAAATTAAATATTAGATTTTTTATTTTTTTAATTAAATATATTTCATCGAGATAATAGACGAATGGGGTGATAAAAAAGACCCAGACAAAAAATGTATTTTTAAAAAATACTATTTTAAGAATTTATTTTTAAAAAAATATTAAAATAATCAATCAGCTCCATTGATATAATTATAAACATATTTAATTTAAGAAAAAAATAACTATAAAACAATTATAAAAAATACATATTTATCCTATAAATTGAATTTTTTTAATATCATACTTAACTTACAAAACTAGTTTGAAAAAAAAAAATGTCACTCATGCTTTAAAACGACAATTGCTTTTAAATTTATAATTTTGTTAGTAGGTATTCTCTTTAGTGTTATATAGTATACACAATGTAATCTTAATATACATTTTTAATATATTTGTAGTTGTTAATTAAGTTAATTAAAAATTATATAATTTTTTCTTAAATATTATAATTTTCTCTTTTTAATAAATTTTAATTAAATATTACAATATAAATTTTTTCTTTTTTTTAACCAGATTTATAAATTAATCCAGACATGACACATGACGCGGTTCTATGAGTTTTGTCTTTATAGCAGATGAAACTCACTAGATGATGACACATAACATAATCTGATAGTTTCATCTCTGCTAAAGACTAAATAACATTTAAAAAATTGAAAAAAAAATATTTCATCATAACAGTGGATGAAACAGCTACTGACGCGACAAAAAGGACCTCGAACAAGAAATATGTTTTTAAAAAATATTATTTTAAGAATTTGTTTTTTAAAAAAATTAAAAAAATAAATAAGCCAATATAAATAGTAGAACCAGATTCATATATTATACTACTGTTTCTACAAGCAACTAATTCATCAAGACTAATAAAAAAAATTAAACACTATAAATAATAATATTATTTCAAAAATGTTCATCATATTAAATGACTAAACTAGTGATTTACATGGAAAATAATTAAGTGCTTAGTTAACATATTTTTATAATAAATTAAGGATATAAAAAAAAATTAACAATTATTATATTTGTAAATAAACCATTGTTTCTTATAATTAGTACACAGTTTTTTTTGGCAATTATTTCTTATAAACAGATCAAAGATAGTATATGTCAAATAATAACATTCTCATTTCAGTTAAAAAAAAGTATAGTGAAATGAAATACTATTGCTAGGATCCATTAGGAGTAGTATCACTTACTCAATTTGAGCGTGCTCCAATGTGAGGCTAATAAAGTTTGGTAAAGTATTGATTAACTGTCAACTGACCTTGGTAAATGTGGTGCAGGATGTCAACACAATGTCATTGAAAAAACAAAAATTAAGCCGTATTGTTTTTCACTACTAAAGGTGATAACAAAATTGTTTTTTTACTACTAAAGGTCATAACACAACTTACTAAAGAATATAGAAGGCAACTACAAAAGGTGAACACATCACGTAAATTTCAATTCCCAAAACACACCGTCAACGGTGATTTTTCGCGGATGTATACTCACCAACGCTCTAAGAACAAATTTCTAAATTACTCAAAATATAGAAGAATACAGATCTTGCAAGAGGGATGGCAGAATGGAACTGGATTACCCCTCTAATGCTGGTCTTCGAGGGTATCTACAGAATCATTAGATATCAAAAATAGCATAAAGAGTAATTAAGTAATAGCATCAAGACTACTATTAGAAACTTAAAGCTAGTAAAACTTCTATTAGATACCTGACTTCTTTGTTTTAAAAAATTTAAATCAATTATATTTTTTATAAATATAAATTTTATTTTAAAATACTAATGATATTAAATAATATAGTTGTAATAGCTACTATGTAAACATGCATTTAATAATAAGAAAAATGTTTACAAAGAATTTAACAATTAATACATCTTAAAATTATCATATATTTCTTATAATTAGGATAAAAAAAATAAAAAAATTATCTCACACTAGTATAAGTTTAAAAACTCTTAAACTCAATTTAAAATTTTTATTTAACTTAAATCTAACAGTCAGTGAAATAATAAATTATAACTCGTTAGATGAAAGTTAAATAAAATGCTCAAATCGAATGTAAGAGTTTTTAAACTTATACCAGTGTAAGAAAATCTTACTCCTAAAAAGAATACTTCATTTTATTCCTTATAAAAAAAATTAGGAGGAGTAATAATCTACTAAATATCAACTAACATAAAGGCCACACACCGTATATGGTGTACCTCCGGCATCGCGCAGGTTAATTAGTTACTAGGACACTGAAAGATAAATAGATAGATATGCAGGTGGGGAAAGGGGAATTGACTTGAGCATATAAATGAAATCATTAGCTAATGCTTCAAAAATATATGGGAGGTTCTTGTACATCATTTTCCTCTATATCAATTCTGATAAAAGAGAAGTAGACGATTATAATGTGCAAATATTAGTATCCTAAATAAAAATAGAAATACTCTTCTAATTATTCAAAGCAACCCCAGTCTACTACTACAAACCCTGTCCAATTATGATGACTACGAGCATTGATAACATTTATGTAAATCAGAAACAATTCATGCCTCACACGGTCCATAACAACCATCAGAATATGCTGTTATCCAGCAGGACTGAACCCTTATCTTTCTTTACTTAAATTCCCTCCAAGACATGATGGGCGTGAAGAAGAGCTTCCATATCAACCCAAATTTACACCCCCACCAGAAAACTCCACTTCCTGAATAAGAAAAAAGCAAGGTCATGAACAAATAAAGCAAAGGAACTAAGTCATTACAATATCATTATAATGAAAATGACCGAACCAATTATCAGATCTTTAAATTGACAAAAAGAAGCACGAGGCCCACCAGCCAGTTATAGATTTGTTTTCATATTCAACCTTCATTGCTGAAATTGAAAAGTGATCACACTATCTAGTTTACAATTACAGACCAAATGAAAAGCGCGTGTTCATGTTTTGACCAGAATGACTTGCAATCATTAATTTGCCTACTAATGTCAGCTCAATAAAGGAGAACAGAATAAATTGTATACTCAACAGCCATGCAATCTCAAATGTCTGGTTACCCAACATAAATCGTTGCCGAAACTTTGTAATAATCAATGCAATAGGTAGGAAGACCATGATTCTAAATTTGAGACTTAAGTATAAAAAAAATACAAGGAGAAGAACACTAACTCCTGGCTTATACAATTGAAAAGTATATAGGGATTAATACGTTAACAATTAGAAAAATTATGAACCAGTAGCAATAATGGTTGTAAACAGCAGCAATAAAATCAAACTGATTGATTATTGACTTCATCATTGGAACAATATGGAAATAAACAAAGAAAAAGGTACTATGGCTTTAGAAGAAATATAGATTAATAGAATAGAATTTCCCAAGAAATTCAGGCAGTCAATATCCTTCCAATATGTAATTCATCATCAACAAATATCCTCAAAATGCTGAAACTCATTCTTCTGCACATAATTTGAAAAGATTTTACACCATCAAGTTTGCATTTATGAGATAATGACAAGAAGACAATTATTTGGTCAAATTAAATTCAGACTTATGAAGCATGTGGCTGCTGAGCTGCAACCTGATAGAATAAAACAGCAAAGTGTTGAATTAATCTACTTCCCCAACTAAATAGTCAAGAAGAGATCCTAGAAGGTGCTCAAGGTTTTGTCATAAAATCTTGGAGCCAGCAAGATAACATGTCTAACTTTCAAACTATTGTTTGAAGAGGGCACAAATATTACAAAACCTAAAACAAATAATGCAATTGATTTATTAAAAACACAAATCCAACCTGAGCAGGTGGCAAGGATGAAACCCAGTCTGACGTGTGTGTAGGAAGAAGCCCTAATGAATTGAGCTGCAGAAAAGGACAATTCCATATGAATTATGAGGAAAAATGTACATAGAGTCTAGATAAAATCGTGAAATCCTAGCAGCCTCAAATTCTTTAAAAGTATTACTCCAAAAACAAATTCTAGTACCCAAACATAATTCATCCATAATTAGTATTGATCATTTCAACTCCATACAAAACAAATGTAAGTAACAAAGTAAAACATAACTCAACACTTGACCTATGTTATATTATACTAAGCCTGACATTTTCATGTTTTGTAGTTTAACCAAAGAGAACAAATCTAATAATGAAATCATAAAATTAGCTTCATAAACCCCATATGTATTGCAGAAAATATGCAATTGAAAGCAAGTATCCAACAAAATCAACACATACTATACATTTTGAGGCTTGCAAACTGGCTAGTGAAATTGAGAGTTGACCATATTCACTATAGTAACCTTGAATTTGTATGACTTTAACAAGAGTTTACAAACAATTTAATTTGTTTCTGCATCAAAGGATGTAAACTCAAAAGAGTTTAAAAGTTAAATTGGGAGTTTCATAATAATGCTGGAACATACACATTAAAATTTTGAATTACAAGTAATGTGATGAGAATGATGAGACACAACACAGTTACATGTATTACCTTCCAAACTCCAAGTGCCAAGCCACCCAAATTAAGGGCTATGAACAACAACTTAGGTCCCAGAAGCTCCACCTTATTGTCTTTGTAAGGCTCAAAAACTGCCACAAAAAAACCAATAGCATGCATTAACAATCCCAGACCAAACTAAAGTTCTCCAGTTTATGTTTTGCAATGTTCAAGCCAAAAATTATTTATAAGGCTAAAAACCAAAAAATGCAATGAAACGCATATTCACAAATGACAACTAGAACATCTTAAGTAAACGGAAACAGTGTACTAAAATAAAGAAAAGAAAACTAAAAGTATCATCCATTCAGGAAGAGAATGAATCGCAACAGATACTCAAAAACACTCCCCCCCATGCCCTTAAACACCAAAGTACGACCAACAAAGTCCAAGAGTAAGGGGACCATGTAGGGCAGAGAAGACTACAATACAAGTTATACCAAGTCCAGTGGCGTCCTATGATTCACATAGCCAACCTTATCAGTAGAATAAAGCTTTGGTTGTTGTCCTTGTCATCTTTTAGGAAGCATTTGGTTAAACACTTATTGGAATAAGCTAAACGGTTTAATTAAACACTTATTCAATTAGTTCTTATTACATGATGACTTATGGCACAACCACCTAAAAATAACTTATTTTGATAAGTTATATCAACAAACTTACCAAAACAAGTTAAAAAGAACTGATGAAAGTTTTTTTAAGCTCTTCCAATGCTCCCTAAAAATTATTTTGAACACAGAATCTCCAAACACACATATTAGATCAACGAATTTCTCATGACAAAACAGAAGGGAAGTGGACACTATTTAAGATCAACCCTTGAATTCAGTCAACAAATGTATAGTAAAAACAAAGGGTTGTATACAGAGAGAGAGAGAGAGAGAGAGAGAAGAGAAAAACATACTCTTTCCGACGCTCTGTAAGGCACTAATGGGTTGCCAAAGAGCAGAGAAGGTAATACCAATGCTGAATAAATGCACTGTGTTACCAGCCATCCACATCATGAACCCCATCATAAGCAAATTCTTCAAAGGTGCTTGTGCCACTTCCCAAGCTTTCTATTTTCAATCAATCAAATAATCAATTACCGTTAATTCAACAATGAATCATTCAATTAATGGAAAAAGAACAGAAGAATTGTAAACCTGGGCTTTCCAATTGGATTCAGCGTCCTTCTTCTGGCGACTGAGAGATGAATCATCGTTGTCGAGAGAAGCGCGAGAAAAACCAGGAGGATCCGGAATATCGCGAGATGTTGAATTGTCTGAGAAGTCAACGCCCCATCTTCGCCCCTGCGCTCCCATCACTCCTTTTCCCTTTTCCATTAACGACGTCGTTTCTGTGTCGCCGGCGATGACGCTCCCAACCAGCTTTCCTCTACGGCGGCGAGGAGCAGTCTCTCTCTAGATCCACTTCAGTTCAGGTTAACGCAGATATCACAGTTCAGATTTTTCTTTTTTTTCCTCACTGATTTTAACCAAATCGACGTCGTTTTGCACGTTACACCCACAAAAGAAAAAAAAAGTCCAAATTGCGAACCACAGAATGAACCAAACAAAAAATATATAACGATTAGTAGATTTCTTGTGTAGTGGATATTAACCTTTTAAATAAAAAAATTAATAAGATAATATTTTCTATATTATCTTACTTTTAACATTTGTTTATTCTACGATTTACGAAATTTTATCCAATAGACATATTTTATCTTTATTTTCAATGAAAATTTTCTCTTGCGGAGAAGTTTAAGTTAAAAATAAACAAGATATTTTAACATAAACATAATATATTTAAATTATTATCATCTTAACACGTATAAAACATGAAATAAAGTATTTTTTTTTAATTTTTTTGTATTTTTATCTGACAATGCATATTATATTCCTTTTCATCATATCATGTCTACTGACATATCTTAAAGGAACCTAGTTAAAGAGATAAGGATTTAAAATTTTAAAAAATTATAAAAATCTACTTCTGTATAATAAATACATATTATTGTTATTAAATAAGAGTATATTTTAGAGTTATTTTAAATAAAAATAATTTTAAGAGTTATTTTTGTTCTTGAGAAATATTAGCAGTATGCTTATTAATATATTCTTTTTAATATCCTCTTAATTATTAATTAAAATTTATTAATCATAAAAATTATGTGTATATGGGATTTAAGCCAGGGTAAGTTTGGTAAAAAGGCTAAACATCAACGGCTAAATCACTACTTATTTGTTAAAAATTAAATAATAATATTTGTAAATAATGTTGAATTACAAATTGTATTTTTCAAGTTATACAAAATAGAAAAAAAACTGTACATAAGTAAAATAAAATAAAATAAAATTCATACATAAAGGAAGAGACATTTGTAAACTTTCACATGTCATTATATGTAATTTCCTTATTTATTAACTTTCGGATGTCAACTCATAACACCTCTCCAAATTCTCATAACCAAGTTATTAGTCGATTGAAGTTTAACAAATCTATTATTAATAAATACAATTTTTTAATTTATATTTTTTATTATAATTTTTATATACCCTTAGTCTTTATTTTTCTTAATTTTTAGTCTAGAATATATATATTTGAAATCTATTTCAAGTTATGAACAATAAAGTTATTATATTTAAATCTAGTAAGATTAATTTGAATAATAAAATTTTTCTTTCAAATATTTAAAATAATTATATTTATTGATATTCAAATTAAAATTATATATTAAATTAGAATAATGTGATTCATTGATCTACGTGTTTAATAATTTAAAAGACAAATTTAAATGTGTTAGAAAAGATGTATAGATGAATTTAAGTCATTAAATTTGCATTGAAAAGTACATTACAGTAGATCATACTTAAATCTAAATAAACACTTAACTAATCAGCTAGCTTAGATTGAATGAAAATATAAATAACTTATTTGTAATTTGATGTTAACTAGTTTAGTATTTAGCTAACTCGAATTTGAATTCACTCCAGTTGTGGCGTGGTAAGATTTGGACATCCAGTAAGCAAAAATAAACTCGCTTAAACAAAAATACAAAAAATGTCAAATTTTTTAATGTAAAATTAGCTTAAATGAATTAATTTGGCTTAAGCAAATTTTATACATCTAAGGAGATAAAGACTGGGTGTAGGGAGAAGAGTGGAATGAAAATAAATGAAAATAAGAATAATTGATGGTAGAGGAAGAGGAGAGTAGAGAGTTGAGTATATACGGAGAAAAGAGAGAGAGATAAGGATGTGGTAGGCCGAGAGTAAGAAGAGGAAGAAAAGAGTTGGACATGAAGTTGAGAAAAAAAGGAGTTGGGAGAGGAAGAGACGAGTTGAGTATAAAAAAAGGAAAAAAGTTAAATATGGAGATTGAAGAGTGAATGTTAAGCATAGGAAGAAAAAAAAGAGAAGATTGAAATAGACGCAAAATTCGCTTAAGCTAACAAAATTTTATAATTTTTTTTATCATTTTCTGTATTTTTATTTAAGCAAGTCTATTTTTGCTTAAGTAAAAATGAAACTAAATATCCAGTTGCCGCGACAACTAGAGTGAATCCGAATCTAATTAACTCTTTAAAACTCTACAAAATATAAAAAGATATAAAATATAGAGAAATTATATTTAAGTGACTTTGTCATATACTTGCTGAAAAATAAAATTCATATCCATGTTTATAGTCATGTAATTTGATCTTCAGCAGTTTTTCTCTCCAAACCAAACCAGCAGTTTTTCTCTCCAAACCAAACCAACCTTATATCAGAAGATGAACAAAAAAGTGAAGTATTGAATATTTTTACACATTTATAAACGTTCATGAACAAATAAATTTGATCATTCTCTTATTGATTTTAGAATCTTGATTCAGATTTTATGCGTTCAACAATGTATAAGCAAACTAGTACCTTTTGCCTATGCATCACTATTTTATAATTTCAGTAAAATGTACATATAAAATAATAAACATTGTTGTATATTAATAATTATTTATATTATTAAATAAAAATAAAAATATAAAAAAGTTAAACTCTTAAAATTAATAAAATAATAAAAAAAATATTTAAATTAAGACATGCAATCCTTTTTGATATAATGTGTTAAAACTTTTAAAAACAAAGTTAAACTAAAATAAACAAAGATTACAATAATCCTAACTTCTATTTCATCTAAAAACCATATATATTTAAAACAAAAATTAAATTTAAATTAACTAAATTTAAACAATATTATTTAAAAAGAAAAAAAAAAGATACTTAATATTAAAGAAACTGTGGCTTAATAAAGAAGAAAATAATCTTAAAAAAAATTCTCTGTAAAAGAGTACAGATTTAAATATACAAATGCTATTAATCCAATTTTTCTTTCTCTTTGGCATATGAGTCATATTTACCAAAACATTTTTCAACCTCATTGAATTCTATTAAATTCATCTGTCACTATTTATGGACCAAAGTCAGTGTCATGTAAAGGCTATCACTTTAAACAGTGACATATGATCACTTTATACTCTTCACCATTTGACAGTCTTGGCTTCTTGGCTGTATTAAGATTCTTGTTTAATATACAAAACCTTTGCTCAGAATGTCACCTACTTAACTCTCTGTCGCATCTTGAAAATTTACCCGAAAGGTTTGCTAATATAAACCCTGCAAGAACCTGTTTCCAATATAAACAATTAATGAGTGTTTAAATCATAGTCCATTAGATAATAAATAGCACACACCAATCTTAATGGAATGAAAATTATTAAACAAGACATGGTGGGAAAGAAAATTGAGACCTGAATGCATCCAAGAATGTACATTGCTGAGTACTTGCGGCCATGTATAACCATGTCAGCTATCATGGCAACGGGAATTGTTAAAGACATGCCCAATGTAGCAACCAAAGGAGCTGTCCAAACTATAGAAAGGGCCCTGTCACAATATTCATTTAAGTTGTTGACATGAAATAGAACATTGTGTAATAATTGTGATTATACTAATAGTTATAGAAATAAGAAGATTCAGGGTGTATTTGGAAGAGCTATAGAAGCTCATATGAATGTATGAAAATAACTTATAACTCTTGTAGAATCTTCTTGTGCTTATTTCAATAAATTTTTTGGAATAGCTTATCAAAACAAGCGTTTTTTAGTTTATTCTATATTTCATGATTAAATATATGAATGGAGGTCTTTATGTGCATATCAAACGCATCCTCAGTTATAATTAGTGCGCATACCATAAAGGCATGAATATATAATGCAAATGTTGTCAAATTTTAACAAATTTTATGTGTCTTGTGTTCATTATACACTGTCTAGCATAATGCATTTAGTATCTTGTATGAAATACTGTTAAAACAAAATTCCCTCGAGCTATTTCAGTAAACAGATGCTGTTCAACTTACCATAAGTAATCTGAAATTACGCTTGAGCAAATGCTATTTGCAATAACAATCTCCCAAGTGGACATTGAACTTGGAAATTTGAAAAGGGGTTCAATTCCCACAGCATTTAATGGCCATGCTGCGTGGAAATTTGCAAGGGCATCAGTCAGGAAGTTTGACAAAGAAATGAGGTAAAAATATTTAACTAAATGGTAGAAATTTGCAATAAACAAGTTGTCCAATATTCCCATTTATTGACAAATAGGGAAAACTCAGTGTTGTAAAAGGCATTACACTAATGTGGTTGATGTATATAACAGTTGATCCAAAGGGAAAAAGAACAAGGGCAAAAGTAAAAGAAAAAGAACTAAAACAGCCTTCCTTTGGGCATGGTTAGGGTTCCTTTCTTCAAATCCCTACATCCACCATTACTTTGTTGAAAGTTCCAACCAACTCGACCTAGTTAAAATCCTTACTTGACAAGCTCTCATTGAAGAAGAAAATAATATAAATCAAGAAGGTAAAATGAATCAAACTTCTTGCTTAAGTTCAAATCAGCGTATGTTTCAGAAACTCCCTTGTTTAACTTCTCTATTATCACCTATATTTCAGCATTCATGCCTTCTAAACACTATATGTATCTGAACTTGATGAGCTTTCATCCCATTGCTAAAGTAATTTTAGTGATTAATTTACTTAGAAACTATCATGTTAACCAAAACTCAATGTTAACACTACTAATGGAATTCTTAGTCCATATACATGCAAAATCCTTCAAAAATAAATCCATACCTAGCCACCAAAATCCAAGAATACTATAGAGACCAATACTGCCAAAAAGCTTTTGCATGTCAACCTTGTCTCCTGATCCGGCAGAATTCTTGAGAAGCACTGCCATTGATTGATCAATGATTGAAAATGATATTAGAATCAGAGATCCACACAAGTTGCCAATAATTTAAATGAACATATATTAGCTGTCAATCTGACATTAAAATTGATTGGCAATAAAATATTCATACCTGTGAATAAGGCATAACATAGTGCTGAGAGTAGACCAAAAATGTCCCCAGTGATAGAATGCTTCTGAGTCCTTAATAAGAACAGTATCCAATTTCGGAAATAGAAATAATAATGGAAACAAAATATAAAGGGAAAAACACATACAGTAGGTCCATGTGGAACCACTAGCCAAAAAAAGTAAAAAAAACAACTTTAAGACGTCATAAGTATCAAATAATTTATTTCATATCATCTCTGCCAGCCAAAAACATGAATCTTTTAACCTTTTAGCTAAGAGGGGAAAAGATGGAGACTATACTGAAAGATGCTTGAGGATGAGTATGTAAAATAAGACTGCATATGAACCAGTGACCTCTAGATCACAAGACGGTAACCTTACCTTTGTGTCAAGGCTTGCCTCTTTAACAAACCAACGAAAAGAAAAAGAATATATTTCAGATCAAGCAATTGCAGTATTGCGCTATTAATTAGTACACTACGCTTCTCAATAATATTGAAGGCTAAAGCTCCTCACAGAAACTGAAATCCTATTTTCCTCAGGAAATTAGCTGTTTGTGCAATCTAATAAAGTGGACTCAATGATTATAGCCTTGAAGCAGGTAGAGGAAAGTGCTTTTGCACCTTAACAAGCAACTTTCAACTTACTCAGAGATGCTGATTTGCTCATCTGCTGCCCAAGTTTTGCCAACAGTTGTCATGGCAACACCAGCCATGCTGATTAAAACAGCAGCTATTTTGGTTATATTTACTGAGTCCTGGCCTAGAAGAGCTCCAAAGAAAAGGGTAAAGAGACCTGACATGGAACTAAGAACTGTTGTACTAGCAACACTAGTGTTTGCAAGTGCCATGTTTGAAAAATACTGCATGATACCAAATTACCAATCAATGAAAAAAGTTTGCAACATCACAGACACAAACAGGGAACATGATGAACTGAACATCTTGAAAACTTGTGATCATGCATGCAACGGAAAATATTTTCATTTTATTCATTTATATATATATATATATATATATTATGTGAGGGTATGGGAGATGGGAGACAGGGAGGTAAGCAAGTACATGATCTAGATTTCATATTAGAACATGTTTCACCATTTCCTACACAAGTATTTGAGAACATGAAAAAATATGAAAATTAGATGACATTTTTGTAATTATAATGAAAAAAAGAAATAAAAAATGTATATAGTATAATGTATATTGTATTGTCCTTTTCTTTTTGAAAAAAAATCTAAAATATAGTTGCATATCTCCTGATTTAATTATATGGGTATATTCATTTTCACATAGTTAATCCGAGGTCATACTACTCTATAGCTTCATCCTTTCATGTGAAAGCAAGAAAGTGAACTTTAGGCATAAAAATTAAAAGCTACCACGCCAAAGAGATCAGTTTGAAATTCTACAAAGCAACAGGCATGTTTCAATTATTTTTTACTCGATATTTCAACAGCTCATAAATTCAATCATTAACTTTTGTAATGTTTAATTTACAACACTTTCACTCCTGCAATATGCAATACAATAAATCTAAGAGAGTCTGGTAACAATGATAAGATGTAAGATATATGGATAATTCTATAATTTTGGTCCGGCTTGTTCTCCAAAATAAAAATGAAAAACAGAAAAAGAAAAAATCAATGTAAAGAGTGAGATTTAAATGAAATCTTGTTACCTCTTGTGCAAACCATATTGGAGTGAGGTACAAGCCACACTTAGCAATTTTCCATGAACTATTTTCAGAACTTTGCGGAAGCAAGGGAGGTTCATCCTCTTCTTTCTTGACCAAAGGCATTCCTTCTTCTCTTTCTCTAATTTCTTTGTCAGTAATCAGACTACCCTTTAGATAGGATTCTGGTCTTTGGCAAATCTCATTGATTCTAAAAGGGACGCCGAGTTCAGTGGAAATACTAACAGATGTGTAGTCCTCATGTATGTTTCTAAATAAAATTTTCAGTAAGCTACAGATCCACTTTTTGAAAACTGAAATGGGAAAATAGATCACCATCACTGATACTCCAAGGTAAGTGAGTGCAAAAGGCTGTTTATACTCTGCAAAAATCCTCTGCAGTAAAGTATCATAAGCTTAGAATAACAAGTTTCACTGCATAATCAAAGTATCAAACTATTCAAATGTTAATAGTGAAGCAATAACAAGTTTTAAGGAATAGAAGAACAATTAGAAAGGCATACAATCAGAACTATACTACTACTTGTCCATTTTATCCTATCATACAGGCTCTAGGCATAGCACACATGCCATATTTTTCTTTTTTCTTCTTTTTCACTCCATTTTTTGATGAATTTAATTAGAACACATGAAGAATTCCTTGATCTCAATCCTTTCCTTAATACACCTTTATTTATTTATCATTTTTTGGTAACATTAGCCCAAAGCAAAAGAAGTAAGATTTTACCGGGGAAGGAAACATTTGTTATACTTATATAATTTCTTTTCTAATAAAATCTTACTTCTTTTAGTTGCTTAAAATCAGGCCTTTAAGTGTAATGTTAACATTTTCTTTTATTTATTTAGGATTTTGTTATTTAATTGTTCATAAATAGAAAAATTTTATAAAAAATATATATTTATTATATTAAAATTATAAAAGTCAAATAAACACTTCTCTTTATAATAAAATTTTATTATTATTAATGGTTTATCTTCGGCCTTGACAAAACCCATACTTAGTATGGTCAATGAACAAGGCTTTACCATTACACAAAACACACACACAGCTGGTTGCTTGGGACGTTTTAACTGAACCGACATAAATAGGAACATTATGTAATTTTGGAAAGAAACGTGTATTATAACACAAGCCAAATACTGAAAACTGACATCATAAATTTTGAAAAACAACAATATGCACGTAACGGTTAACTATCCTAGGGTTGAGGCCAATAGTGGCAAAGCCTTTGTTACAGACACAAACAGTCCCTTCATTGAAGGGGTGTCATTTTGGAAAACCTTAAAAATTACCGAGTATTATATAATTACTTTGAATGGTGAAAACTCTTCCACCAGTATTTAATTTATCTCACTTTGAAGTCCTATCTGAAGCAAAATCCAACCTTGTATGTATAGCGTATCATTGTCACATTTAGATGAATGAGATATATGTTTCTGAACTGACTCACTTGCAGCTCCAACATGTCACAAGTTTCAGATTTTGTTTTCCTACCCTTTACTCAGAAACCATACCAAATTAAACAATCTTCAAAACAAAGCCAAAGAGACAACACAGCAAAGTAGCATGCATCAACATAACCAAAACAGCAGGCAAAGGAAGGAATTAAAAAAAATGTAGAAACAGGAAAAACATGATCACAAACCTGTGTTATTTCTGCAGAGCTGACCCATATTAAGACAAAAGCTCCAATCAGCCCCAACCCAGCATGGTACCTCCAACCCATCACAGGATTTTGTCTCAAGTCCCTTAATGTGTGTGTGTGTATATAATATAAGCTGAGATTAACTCTATTCTTGCTACAAATTCATCTCATCATAATCATAGTCTTCTATTGCATTGGCAAGTTCTGAAATAAATGGACATAGGACATATACATATACATATACATATACATATACATATGATATATGCAGACAATTCTAGTATATAATAAGGTTTGGATGATTAGTTGATTACCATATAAGTAACCTGGTTTTTGTTATATTCGGCATGGAAGAGATATAAAAGGGTGGTTTATTATACGAGGTCTCATGAGAAAGTGCAACTTTCTTAATTTTCTAGTCCCGAAAGTCAAAATATAAATCAAATTCACGTGCTAAGGTTGCAGTTGCTTGGCTTATGCGTTAGCTTTACCTTCATTAAGTGACACCTGCCGTTGCATTTTGTGCAAATTTTAGTTCTTAGCTACCGTGGCAGTCAAGAGACTTAAACATCTGTATTTGAGAAGATTCATGTATACATTATCAATTCAGTTATTTGAACAATCGAAGAAAATTAATATTGTTTGTAATACTATATTTAATTATTTTTAGTTTTCACATATTTTTTATGTCCACGTTTTAAAAATAAATTTAGAAACAAAATACATAATTAAAAATCATCCCATAAAGTTATCTAAAAATACACATTTTGCCAGTGCATACAACACTACCGTTTGCACTTAAAATTGATGAATGAGAAAATTTGTCATATATTCAATTGTAGATTCCACGCATCATTTTTGTCACATACCAGAAAATATAGCTCTGAGATCCTGCCACGTTTGTAACAAAAGTAACTCATTTCTTGTTTTTTTTCCATTTTTATTCATTCATAACATACGTAGCATATCCTGACTTTTTCTCGATTTCTTCAGAGCACCGACAGCACCCTTTTATGCATTGTTGATGAAATTATAATGTGCTTCGGTGCAATTTAATCGATTAGAAGCTCAAACAAACGTAAGTGTGACCAAAGAGTAGTAAGCAAGAAGCAGTGAAAACTAAATTTAAAATTTTCCACTTAAGATCCGAAAAATAATGTTGAAACGGGGGAAGAAAATACACGTATTTGTGCTAGTGCTACATCATCCCTGCCTTGTACATTTTTCTCGGAATACTCGCACAAAAAATAACCTTTCTGTGACTTAAGCTGTACAAGAATACTCTGGTAGGAAGCTTCTTTGTCTAACTAGTTCATGAAGGTCATGAACAATCTTGAACACGGCATCTGGCCTTGCTAGCCTCAATGCATTTTGTGACATTTGTTGTAGTTCGTAAGCTTTTGGACCAAACCACTCTGCAACAATTTTTGCTATCTCCTTAGGCGATTTAGAAAACTTCCCACATCCATTTTCCACTACATAGGGGACATTGCCAGCTTCCTGAAAAAAATGTTACAAAAATTTTCAGTCATGTAGGGAAAGGTAGAGGTTCAATTACAATATTTATGTGTGACTGAATACTATGGGTAGAATCAAAAGTAAAAATTTAATTGAAAAGTATAACAACTACTCCTAATGTGAATTTTAATAAAACTTTCTATTTATTGACTTCTTAAGCAGTTCTTTGGTCAGAAAGACACTAACATAATAATTTCTACTCCCACTAAACTCACTACTAAGAGTATGCAAGATGAGAGAACAATATACACAAGCACTTGTATTCCTACTTTCATACTTCTGAGAAAGATTCCTTCCATCTCTTTTTTTGTGCCAACTTAGCTACTCTTTGTGTGTCATTCGAATAATTTCTAGTGGCTAAAATATATTAGTAAGTTCCACAACTCAGTCTCAAATTTACTCCATGAATGCAATTGAATCAGCTTACTTTTTGCAAAAACAAATTAATCACAGGATTGAGAAATTATAGCCATAGCCAAAATACCTGCCCAGCAATGTAATCATTTAAAACTATGGGGAGGCCTCGGATCATGGCCTCTGCGATTGTCCCTGGGCCCGCCTACAAAAGGGAAAAATTGATCAACTGATGTCATAATGAAATACAAAAAACTTAGTCAGGATTGCGTGATCAAACCTTTGTAATGATGCAATCACAAGCTCCCATGCATTCCTCCATTTTCGTAACAAATCCTTTGACCTAAATATGAATAAAAATTAAATCTGTCAGGGTCTACCATGGAGACACATGATGTTAAATTACCAATTGCTATGTTTGTCTACAAATTGATATGCCATCCACATCAAACAAGAAATTTGATATGGAAGTTCACACCTAAACTCTTCTACAGTTCTACCTTAACTCGTATGAAAAGAAAAAGGAATAGTTTAAAAGCATTTAATCACAGTGGAAAACTTTAAGTAAAAAAAAATATAGATTTGAGACATTCATTGCTGAAGGATAGATAACCTCTGCCCCAAGTAATTTGGAATAACTTCCACAAGAAACTTGATCGAATCTGATCCAGAAATTTTCTTTCATCAATCAACAAATTTAGAATTAATTTCTACTCTTAAATTATAATCACAGCATTCATTAGCACATCTTTGTAGTATTTTAAGAGCCAAGTTTTTTACATTTTCTTCTCTCTCTGACGTAATTGGGTCACACATCCACAAATTCATTTGTCAATACTTCTAATATTCAGTTGCACCATGAGTCACAAATATTTTCACCAACACGCAATATCATTGATCCTTAGGTTAGATATTTAGTTCATCATGAAAGAGAACATCTAGACACTACCATAAGTCCATTGCCATTTACAGCTGACAAACTTTCAATATAAGCATGAATAGGAACAATCATAAATAGTGCAATAACACAGACAAACACACTGCAATTTATATGAGACTCATAAAGCACAAACACGGTTCTGTGATGATTTTAAGGGTATCAATACCTGCACAGGAACCTTCCAATTAATAGAATTCAGTTTGTTAGCAAGCTTCTTATTGCGACCACAGATCACAAGGATCTGACCTACAGGAGTCCCAAGATTTTCGTCATGTAATGAATCTCCAAGTGCCCGAGCAGTAGCCTCAATGGGGCCCATACCTTCACCTCCCCCCATCAATAATACAGCAGGAAGATCCTCATCCATCCCTAATTCTCTCCTTAGTTCATCCTAAAGCATAAATTACATAAGGGATAAGTCCAGAGTCAACACTACCAGAAGCAATAAAGAAAATCAATTTGAAAAAACATGTTTCTTAACTTTACTTTTAAAGGGTTAAAAACAATTAATTTTAGTACTACACCATTTCATATTTTATTAGTTCTTAAAAACAAAATCATTTGCATCATCCACTTCATATAATGGCAAGAGAAGAAATTATAGTTTACAGGCACACCATTTGCACATCTGAGCACTGGTGACGTAGAAATGTCTATAATTACATGCAATAAATTGAAAAACCTAACAATTTAAATTACTAGCCTCCTAATTGAGATTGGATAGTTCCTATAATCCTATCACACTGTAACAAAAAATCCAGCGACATTGATTTGGGAATAATATATATATTGCACAGAGTATTGCATTCAAATACCAGAATTGTATATTAAAGTCATAGTCATAAGAATATGACATACCTTTGGCCGGACAGGTTTAACAAAGGAAGGTCGAACAGGTAGACCAAAAATCTTTATTTGAGATTGCTGGAGTCCAGCTTTCATTGCCCTTTTCGCAACATCTGTTGTAGGACAATAGCATCTAGTTACAAGCTTATGAAACCTAAAGAAAACACAAAATAAGATGTCAAACTAAAAACTATACTATTGATATGACTTTTTAAGAGAAAATTATATAAAAACAGAACTAACCAGGTTGGATGGCATGTGCTTAAATCTGTGACAACTGTGGTAAAAGGAATTTTCTTTAAAAGACCCTTTGACCTCAAAATCCGGAGTGGAACATGCTGCATCAGTGGATGCACACTGATTATTATATCAGGCTGATATTTCATTAGGCCTTTAGCGACCTCACTGTAAAAAGAGGAAGAATATTTCAACTATGACATGAAATGTTACACTATATTTGAGAGGAGACTTATATGCACATTGAAATACATGATGTGACATGGAATGCAGAAAAAGTCAATAACTTCTGTCTAATATTAATGCAAAGCGCAATAAACATCGCAATCTGCAACCAGAGGGCAATTGCTCCAGAATATCTAGCACTTTACATTTGTAGATCATGAACATACAATTAGAACCATACTGAAATACAACAAAATTACCATGCTATCTATCTTCTAAATTTTAAGAAATCAAGTAATATAAAATTATGCTTTAACCCAAATATCTTGTAAATAGAAACAGAAATACATATATCAAATATCAGCAAACAATTTATTCCCCCGGCTAGAAATCCAATCCATAAAAATAATGAAACTATTCTGATATAACTTATTTTAAATACTTCCAACTAGAAAGATGGGGAAAATACTATAGCAGTGCAGTATATGCCTAGACTTCCACTCATGGATCATTTTGTAAACCTCTCACCCATATGCAATGGCATATATCAATGCATTTACATTTTCTTTTCATGTCATGAAAGTAATTTGTCAAGAAATAAGAGTAGAAATCGTTACATGAAGGCAACCAAATCTCACCGAGCTATGAAAGTACCAGTTGCAGCAAAATTAGACTGGTGCACTACACGTGGGGCAGTTCCATAGTAGGTCATCTTCCACAACGGCCCATGTTTCACCAAAAAGCTATAGCTCCTAGGAAGTTGATTGAACGGCCAAGGCGTGTGATCAGACCACAAATCAGTGACAAAAACCTGTACCATAAACTCCAAAATGAGGGCATAACCCAACAAATAAAAACAGATACATCCACACGCCCATTCATTTGATTTCCTGTAGCTTCCCATCACCTTAAACAAGTAACCACTCCTAAAATTATCATCATTAACTCACAATTTAGGAGGCATTTGAAAGAGTTTCTACACAGCATATTTTGGGCTTGTGAAAATGACAGAGTTCATATAAATTTTTTTTAGCTTATTTTAGTATGCTTCCTAGTGAAACTTATCAAAATAAGCATTTTTTAACTTATTGCAATAGCTTTGGAAATCAAATTTATGACAAAAACTCTCATGTGATAAGAACTTATTGAATTTGCTAACCCAAACAAACATACCCTTAATCCTGAACTATTTCATACATACAGATTATGGCAAAACTTTAGTCAAAAACCTTAGATGCTTTTAGGGTTATTCAATAATAAAAATTATAATTTCACCGTCAAATGTCAGCACTAAAGGTTAGCACTTAGCACCAATCAGTAAGACGAAACTCTAATTTGAATTGAACAGCAACAAAAGTCCCTAAGTTACTTCACCTACAAATGAATCATCAAACTTACAAAAATACTATCAAGTTAGTCCTCTTTAGAAACTAAAGTGAACTAAGCTGCAGCTGAAGAATAATCAGAACTAATTTGCTTTTTAAATTTTTTCTGAAACAAAATATTCGTTTTTATAATTCTAATTAGACAGAAAAAAGAATGAACCTGGTAATCGTCTCCAAATTCTTCATAGAAAGCAGCTTTGATGGCTTCCGCAGAAGCTCGATGGCCCCCACCAGTGTCACTCATCAAAATCAAAACCTTTTTGGGGCTCTCACCCTCAGCACCATTCAACGCCAACCTATCATCCTCCACAACACCACACCCACCTTCTCTGCCCCCATTACCTTCACCGTTACCGTTACCCTCACCGTTACCACCACCGTCACCAACACGAAGCGAAGCAAACCCAATAGGAATCCTCTCGCAGTGGAACCTAACGGCTCTGTTGAACTCGTTGAGAATGTTCCTAAACCGAATACCCCCTCCTCCACCCTTCAAGCTAAGCGAAACGCTGCGTTTCGTTCCAGCCCTTCCATTGAAGTGCAAGAAATTGGAGAGAACAGAGGAGCACGTGTCAGAACCCAAGTCGAGGTGCGAAGAATCGAAGGTGAAGCGACCAATTTGGGACGCCAAATCAAGAACTAAACGCGATTCTGGTGTAACACTCTTATGCATTGTGTCTTTGTATAGCTATTTCTCTGATTAATTTATTAATAGTGAGTGAGATTAAGGAGAAATTGGGAGAGAAACATTTCGGGGAAGTTAAGGTGGGAACAAGGAGTGTTTGTTGTGTTGTTGATGTTGTTGTTGTGTTGGAGAATGTTGTTGTTTCAGTTTGAGTTGTGAGGGTTGGGATTGGGTTGGTTTACTTGGGTTGGGTTGGGTTGGGTTGGGTTTAAGTGTGGATTGGGTTTTGCTATGGTATATTCGCACCGGCCACTTGGATTCCAGTTAACCAGTGGGTCATTGCCACGTCACCTGTGATCGCAATGGGAATTCGCAGCTGAAATTAATTAGTAAATTTTTATTGATGTTGCGGTTATTATAAAATTAAAATTTTAAATTAAAGTTTAAAAAATTAATATTTAATTATATAATGAGATTAATTAAAAAAATTATGAAAAATTGAGATTAATTTACGTGATAAAATAAGAAAAAAAGAATGTTTAATAATTCTCTCACTTAATTTAAATTTTTAAAAATATTTTTATTTAACAATTAATAATTAGAAATTATATATAAAGATAATAATTGTTCAATTTCAGAGCTCTTGAATGGAAGTAAATAGTTTTAATAATTATTCGGTTTTTTTTAACAACTATTTTGAAGAAAACGAAATAACCGTGTGTTGAGTTAACAAGATTTAAGTATCCAAGGAAAAAAAAAGATAAAATAAAGATTCAATATTTTTGATATTGTTATTGATTTGATGTATTATAATATTAAATTTATTATAAATTATAAAATATAAAGTATTAATTACTATTTATATTATTATTAGGTAAAATCGATAATCTCAGTCACGAGTGAACTCAAAATTATTCAACAAAATATAAAATTTAAACTTTAAAATTTGAAGATAAATTAAATAAAATATTTTTTAATTTGATCCAATAAAGTTTGATGTAAAGTAAACTATGAGTGGTCATCATTCCCATATTCCGTCCAACAAAGCACGTTCTTCAAATGAGATTTGTAAAGATGATTGAATTAAATACAAAATTGCCATGTGATTCGCATGCAAAAGAACTGTGTATAATGCGAGGGACGACTCATGACTCATTATCCATTTGCCGGCCAATACAACGTTGTTCTTTCCATTGCCTTTGCAAATTCAAACATTTTCCACCAAATTTTCCATTTTCACACCCAAAATCATGTGAATATCATGCATTTACGTTTTCAACAAACCAAGGATATTCTCAAGTTCTTCGTTTCATTTGTAATGAAGAACAACATCGCACTCAAGTTTCCGTCCTAATTATTTTTATTTTTGTTGAATGATAAAATATACTTTTTTGGTTGATTTAGGTGTTTGATTGTTCAATAAACACTTTATTAAAATAAAATAAAAATATATTAATAAAAAAAATGAAGTGTTTTTTATATTTAAAACTTTTGAAAAGTTTTAAAACATGTGATCAAGGCATCTCTTAAACAATAACAAAAAATCACCAAGTTGTTTGTTTACGCGTACATAACCTCCATTAAGAAAAAGTGTATATTTTTTCCATTAATAAAACTTCATTTTAGTGTATTAAAAAACCTTTAACTTTCATGATAACGTGTATACATAATATACTTTACTTTTAAGTTTTAAACCAAGATTCTTCTAACACTACTTGCCTTTTGTTTTTAAGGAACACGTTAAGAGGTAGAGGATTAGGGACGATACAATATATAATATTATTTTTAAAATATTAAGATGAGTACTTCACAATATGCATTACATAAAATATAATTGTATTTATATATGTAATATTAACTATTTTGTAATAATGTTGATAAAATCTTAGTTAAATAAAAATATTTTAAAATAAGGAAATAATGTTTAACGATAGATATATTATAAAACATATCATAAAATAACATAACTATATAAGAAAATATTTATCCATTGTGAAGTATTTGCCCATTGCTTTTTTATTTAAAAATATTTAAATAATTAATTTAGTAAATGATAACTTCTTAATTGGCTTTAAACCTCCCCCATAAACATGTTGAACTCGAGCTGCTATGAGAAAAATCTAATTACATTCTTTCTCAATAATAATAATATAATCAGATAGCACTTTCTCAAAAATAAAATAAAAAATAAAAATAAGAAAATATTTTTAAAAATTATGTCAAGTATAAAATAATTAAATAAATATGATAAATTATATAATTTTTTTGTAAAATAAGAGAGTATTTTATACTCTTCTAAATAATTTTTAAAATATTTAAAAAATTATAATTCTAATAAGTACTAACTAACATACTTAAAGAAGAAAATAAATATGCAGAATAGACATATATTTTATATAAAATAAAAGGAATTTCAAAATAAGAGTTATTAATTAAGAGTTGCTACCTCTAAGCATGATTTGAGTATACGTGAATGAATATTTGTTTGTTAATTGAATATTGCCTTGTAAGGGTGTATATGGAGCAACTTCGTCGGTACCTCGATCTTGGGAAATGGGAATCATATATGGGAATTTTTTTAAAAAAATGAAAAAGAAAAAGAAAGACGTTGTATAGAAATAAGTAAATAAGTAATGTAGAATTTAGAGAAATCAGCAAGATCAAGTTAATTTAACAAATTTTAATAAGAGTTATTTTATTTAATATATTTTTTTATAAACATTAAATTTTATCAATCCAACTAAATTAAAAGTTCTTTTTCAATAGATTAAGTGTGAAAAAATCATATAAATAAAAAATAATTCATAAAATCACTTTATTTTAACGTATAATATACATTTCAAAAATATAAACTGTTCAATATTTAGAAGAATAAAAAGAAAACTCTAGTATTCAAGTGAAAAAAAGTTTAATACACGTTACATGTATAAAACAAGGAAACTAGAAGAGTTTCTCTTCCTTATATAAAGATTTATATATTTTTTTTATAAGCAAAACATATATTATTAAAAAGAGTTTAAGTAGAACTCAAAATTCATATACACAGAGAAAAAAATAATACTTACTAAAAAAATATATATATTTATACATAACTAAGACAGATGCAATTTTGTGGGTTCAAATATCAATCAACTAATAAAATAATTTATTCTTTATTAACAAGTGACAATCATTTCTAAGATTTCAGAATAATAGAATCTTGAGTTTTCTTTTCATCTAAAATACTATTGGAAAACATAATTCGATTTCTATGTAACTACAAAGACCACACTCTACTTAGTCAAATAATTAATAAACATATCTCTTCTTTTTTACTACAATCAACACCAACTCAAGAAAGCAAGTGAATCGATAAATTTGAAGGCAAAAATAATGAGAATTCAAACCAACGCACAGTAAAGTACCAGATTTGAGATGAGACTGATCACGTTAAAAACAAATGAGTTGGAAGTTTCTCCAAACCATAACGGAAGCAACAAGTTATATCGTCAATTTGAACACTACGATCAATCAACAAACTTTACAAAGAAGTGCATTTAACAACAATTGCCAATAAAATATTAGACACTTAAGAGAGACATTCCCTCTCCATAGCCTTCGCAAGGTATCCGACGTACACTAATCTACAATATTAGGGCCACCAAAAAATTGAAATAGCCATAAATCACTTGAATAATAACCTGAATAATCTGCCCTCCATACCCATTTATTTTCTGGTAGTACTTTAAGCTTGAGATCTCATGTTGAAATAGTCCTCTTCGCCAACTAACATCCCAAACTCACCTAGTATCATCATGAAAATTATTCTCCAATATACAAGATTCAACATTATTCGCTACTGCAAACAATCGCGAAAATACCTCACACAATCGCACTTCGCCTACCCACTTATCTCTCCAAAAAAGAGTGTGCAAACCTGCTCTCACACTCCTATCCAACTTCTCATCCAGCCATGAATTCTCTTGATGAATAACCTCCAGCAAATCACGCTATTACAAAAAACATCTGTTGTGGATTGATGGACATTGAATAGAAGAAGCTAATCTGTCATACTTAACTTCCAACACCTACACCCACAATGAACTAGAATAATTAAGATCTCACCACAATTATTTACCAAGAAATGTCCAGTTAACACACTGCATATTTATAATGCTTAAGCCACCATTCTTTCGGGGTTTACAAATCATTTCCTATTTTACCCAGAAGATTTTAGATTCATCCTTAATACCATTTTATATAAACATTTGAGTTACTCACTAAATAAAATAATATGCTTTTATATTACTACATAGAAAAAATTATATGACGTGATAAATATTATGACACTTTGAATTTTTTAAAAAGTATTTTTTTTAATTATTATGATTTTTAAATTAGAAAAATATCAACTTTAAAGGATCTTTGATTATTACTATTTTTCCTTTGACCTTAGTAGTATTATCTCAAAATATAAGTAAATATTGATTATAAATTTATATATTTTTAAAAAGAGTTGATTGGATAGCTAAAAGAAAGTTAAAAATTGAAAGGTGAAAACTAAAATATTAACTATTGATAAAATTAGTTATTAAACTAACTAATAAATATATAATAACAAATAAAATTTTAGTTTAGAATGTGAAATTTAGTAATTATATTTTTTATTAAATAAAATGAGTTTATATATTATTTTATATTATTATTTAATGATTTTATATTGTAAGAAAATAAGATTTAATGATTTGGTTATATTCTAATAAGATTTGATTATAAAAGTAGTTTAGAAAAAGCTAGATGTAAAAAAATTATAGTAAAATTTTAAAATTTAAAGGGATAAAAAGAATAATAATTAAAAATAATAAATAATTTTTTAAAAAAAATTAGCTAGTAACTAACAAATAACGTTTTACAAAAAAACTATTTTGGATATGTTAAAAAAATTAATAACTACTTTATTAAATAAAGTTATTTTTGTTAAACAAGTTTTTTAACTAATTAAATAAACTTTCATCTAACATTTTAACACATTCTAAGACTTATGCTTGTTGAAGTTAATTCATGCTCCAATTACATCTTCAAAGGGTATTCTCACTTGAAAGAATTTAAAATATTTTTTTATCTTTTGTATTTTTTTTTTTCTTTGTGCTTTCAGCGAAGAGAGGAGTCTATCAAGTACAAGATATAAGCAATGTCAAATAAAACAAAATCCTTTTAATGTGAGTTATTATAATTGTATCAATTAGATCATATCATATTATATCTCGATTTACTTTCTTGTATCAAATTATATTTCCTCCAATTCTGCTATGTACATAAAAATTCAATGAAATTCATCAATTAACTTCTCATTTTTATCTCTTCCTAACATTATTCCCATGATCCACTGCAACCCATAAAATAAATCTAATTTTTTGCATGCATATCAATCTATAATATGGGCATTTAATTAGTTCGTTATCATGTGTATGGTAATGTATCTTGGAGAAATTTGAGTGTGTAATTCCACCCTTAAAACAATATGGGAGTTGAGTGACCCCAATAAGCTTTTAACACTGAACTATCACTGCAAGAAATTCTTGTGTCATATTTTAAGTCAACTTTCTAGTTCCTGTGTTATTTGTAGAGATTGGTGATTGAAATCCAAAAAGTTTGATTTTTTTAGCCCAAGCTATCTCCAAATTAAACCGAAAGGTACTTTTTCTCTGCAGAAAATGGACTAAAGAAAACTTGGGATCAAATTGGGCCTATGGCCCAAAGCCACAAAATTCCAAACTGAATGCAGTTCCTGTCATGCACAGCCTGTAAAAAGTTCCTTTTTTCATTGACCCAAAAAAGTTTTTTATTATGGACTGAAAAACAAGTTTTTTTTTTTCTTTTTTGAATGAACACTATTTTATATGTTAATTTAACAGTACTAAACCTGTAAATAATTATATTAAAGACAGTTTTATATGTTAACCTTGTTACCTCTAAATAGTTATTATTATATATCATTATCTTTGTTGCTTTTCATTTTACCTTTTGGGAGCTAGCTAGGACTTGGAATTGCAGGAAAACTGAGTTCTCCTTTTCCACAAGAAATAACTTACATGTTTTGGTGGGTCCAAATTGTAACAATTATAGCGAAGTTGTCCTTGGTCTTGATTATATCTTTGTCTCACCTCTCTTTTGCGCCACAAGAAACCAAAGAACCATTACCCGGTATTTCATTATTCTAGTGAAACTTGAAACTCTTCTTGTAGTCCTCTCAATCTCTCCCAAGAAGAAAATGATGAGGTGTGTGTCTTGTGGTAAAGGGTGTGTGCCCATATCAAGAACAATGCATAGTATAAGGTTCATGTCACCAATTGGTGTTACAGTTATTGTGCCAAGTAATGGAAGGCCATGCAAAAGGATTTCTGGCATCAGGGTGCAGGCTTCTATGGTGGACTCTTCTGATTTTCTTAGGCGCATGGAACTGGCCTGGTTAATCTCTCAGGTTTTTGTTTTATAATTCAAATCAACAAATTTTGTTGGACCCTTGAAAATCAAGTTTTACACTTTGTTCTGTGCTGATGACATTTTTTTATATTTTATACTTAGGATTCTCATTTTTAAGGAATTTATGATACCCTGATATACTATGTTGTCTGATAATTTTTTTAATAAATATGCGTTTTGAAAGATATATACACGTACATACCCTTCTTAATTCAGTTGAACCTTTAAGCACTCCCACATGTGTTTACTGTTATGCGTCTGAGTTTCCTTTGTTTAATGTGCTGATACTGATTCTATAATTTTAAGTGATCATATTCGTGGTGATGTCCATGGTTGTATTATTTTCTATAACAAGCCTGATATTTTCTTAGCTGATATGGCTTTGGATTTGACCAAAAAAAGAATGATCTTTGATAATCATTTACTGGTGATACAAAGCAGACATAAAAATAAGGTTAATAAGGGCACATTAAAACATTCAGATATTAATGAGTATCAATTGTCACCAATTTTTTTTATCAGCCATAGACTATTCCAAAGAAAGTATTGAGAATGTCTTCTTCGTATGATTTATATCATCGACAAAGTCTATGTCGTATCTACCTATTATAGATTTTGGTAGGATAAATTTAAATCATTGAACGTTGTTGAGATGTGTGTGGAGATTAATAAGTCATAAATTTTATATTAAAACGTATCACATTGTTAGAAATTGATTTTGATGAATAATTGCCAAACGCGAACATAATCATTGAAATGTAAAAAAATTATATATTTAATTATAAAATGCTTTTTCATTTCCACCCAAGTAAAAGCTATTTGGAACAAATAAATCAAACTGTACATATATGTTTACTGAAGAAGCAAAGCATAGAGATTTTGAGTAATCTAATTACATTTTGATAGCTCCACGTTTTATTCAACATTCCTCATGCTTGCAGCAACCAAGGCCAATCGTGTGTACATCTTGCAACTCAAAAGGGCACACTGAATGCAAATGGTGTGGGGGAACCGGTTTCTTCATTATTGGTGACAACATGCTTTGTGAAGTTCCATCCAGAAACACTCGCTGTATTATTTGCAACGGAAAGGTACCTCTGATGAAATACCGATCTGAATCCACCAATATTGTTGCCCTACATAATAACTACACTGTTTACATCTTCACCATATCAGTTTAGAAGACTTATTGTGCCACAAATTTGTTTTTGTTCAGGGATCAATGTGCTGTTCTGATTGTCAAGGAACAGGTTTTCGGGCAAAGTGGTTGGAGGAACCTCCTAGTTCAAAGTAGCAAAGATACTTTACAGCTTTTGAGTTGAGACATTGAAGTTGTTCCTCATTTACTTGGACCCTTTAATGAACTGAATGCAGCTGCAGCTTCAACAGCAGATTACTAATACAGTTGACAATATTGTTCAGTTGCTTGTGTTTAAAAAATGTTATATATTTTACATGTTTTTTTCACTATAAAAACGTAACATGGAGCAGTGTTGTAACTTTTGATACAGTATGTCTCCTTTCAACATGTTGATGTGTAGACACTACAATTGTTTGTGTACACAATTCCATTTATTTACATTTTAATAAAACCAACTTTGTTTTCTGGTAGCCCTTCCAACAATAGAAGCACACCAATTACAGAATTCAACAGCTACATCTTAAAAGAAGAATAACCAACTAGAAGCACAGTTATATCAGTACTACAAGTCTACAGTATAGATCATATGTGAAAGTCCTGGGAGCTTGACATAAACTGCAACAGCTACGATCTCTCGATAGAAGTTCAATTACTTTGAACTATAGCTGAGAACAGCAGTTTGTTGAGATCTCCAGAATCAGAATCATGCATTTCATTCCCTGCATTCAATATATATTCACTGAGAAATTTATCTTTTCCTGAATTCTAGCTGTGCATGGCATTGTATCATGTTTATCTACACCTGAATTCTAGCAGTGCCATGCATGGTAATTATCTAAGATCATGTTACGACAAATCAGATTCAATGTCATTCTTGGATAGCCCTGCCCTTTGACAGAAATGCAACAGCTATACAAGGAAAAAGTCCGAGTGGCCCACCATCCTAGGAATGAGTTCAGCAGTTAAGGAGTGAAAACAGTTGCAACCAGATGAGTAAGGGTGGTGGCAACTGCTTTAACTGTCATAACAATGCAACCTTAAAATAGAAAAATGATTTTACAGATACGAACTTAGGCACTGGCGGGTCAATTCAACTATAGCACCTTGAGACTGAAAGGGTATATAAGAAAAAACCCATTCACATATTGATTGATCACGGGCAAGTGTTTCTACATCCTAGAAAGATTAATGGTTTGGAACCTGGTAGAGTTTAGGAATCTAGAGATTTTTGAACACCAGAAACTATAGACCAGCTACAGAATGGAGTTAAAGCTAGAAAGATCAGCAGGTTCTCCTACAAGACGACAAGTAAAAAGGACCCCAACTCCAGTTGCTACTGCAGCAACTTCCAAAATGCAGAAATTGATAACAGCATAAACAGTGGCTTTTGTCCTTGGAAGGCTCATAAACAACTGTCTCACCAACCTTGAGACTGAAGTGGACACATTTAGTTGGGAATCTCAACATTTCACTCAATCCCAAGCTCAACCCCTTTCTTTTGTCCTTGCCGTCTTCATGACAGATGTCTATCTCAACTCCACTTCCCTTTTTTAACTACATGAGCCAACCCCTAGTTGTTTCTCCAGACCTACTAACTTATGCAAATTCAAGTTGTGCTACTGGGAAATTCAAATTCAAGAAGCAAAAAGGTGAAGAAAATATGTGAAGAAAACATCAATTGGACCCATACGCCCATAGCCAACTTTTAATATAGTGAAACCAATCCAAATCACAATTTATTGTCCTCTCTCTCAATAGTCAATAGCCTTTCACAACATACATATTTAATTCAAACCTTTGCATTGACATCCAGTAAATCTTTGTTACTCCATAAATAATGACACACACATCAACGAAATAAGGTTGTCAAATTTAATGGGTGAAAAATTATAAAAATAATAACTTGTCGAAACTCCTTACCTGTTTTGGATCTTACTTGTACTGTCCATTCTTCAATTACCTGCACAATCAATTAAAATTTTGTCACTTAGTTTCTACTAGGTTGACTATATGAAAAGTGGTTAGATACAAAATTTGAAATGAAAATCACTTTACATCAGTATCGTATGACATAAATATGAGAAAATGTAAACAGAATGAGAATGCTTTCTTTTCACTTTGAGTCATATTGTAAGTTGAAATTGATTTACTCCATCTTCCATTCTCTAACTTCCTCCAACTCAACCAAGAAGACCCTTAGTTATGTAGGCAGCACAACATGAAAGAAACCCAAGGACATCGTTGCTTGGATAAAACTCACAAGTAAAGCCCCAAATTTTATTTATATTGGTTGCTTGCTGGCAAACGGTGTAAAAACTTGGAACACCACTTGGAAAATAGCCAACCTTTGAGATGAGAATGGAAAAAACATACATGCATAAATTATCATCACGCTCCAGTTTAATACCTTCAAAATGGAAAAGACAACACTTTGATTTTTGAATGATAACTTTGTATTCTCCTATGAAATCAAAGACCTAGCACAGATACTTAATCCTTTGAACAACTAAAACCTCTTCTTGAGAAGCTACATGAACCATTATGTGCTTCTCAGTACTCAGCAATTCACAAACAAGCAAAGGCACAATGAAAGAACGCTCATCCAACTATAAGGAATTTCATTACTTCATCAATGTAAAGACACTGAAGCACTAATTAAAAAAACATTCCCACACTAACTTACTCACAAATATAACTTCTTTCATTACATTATCTGTTCAAGACATTGAAGGACTACAACAACAACAAAAGTCTTATCCCGCTAGGTCATACGACACCGTTGGACAAAGTCAAAATCCAAATTCCCAGAGATATTATTGAAGTACAAACCAAACAAACAATTAGAAAAAAGACATCACACACTCACACCCATAATTACCTGTTTGAAGTTGGTGAACGCAGCATCATCTTCACCAGTGGGAGTGATGCCCAAGGACGTTTGCATACGCTGCACTGAATTTCTGTTCTCAACCAGAGTTCTCTGAGCCTTATCAATCAAATCCTTCACAATTGAACAACCAACAATTAACTCCAAAACATGGGTCTTACTCCTATCTTTTTAAGCAGGCATCTGTATCACTAATTATCAAACTCACCTTGCAGCAATCCAACTCTATAGAACCCACTATACTGTATAGAATGCATATCACTGCATTATTATACTTATAATTAATGATAAAGTACCTGCTTGGCAGCCAGAAGCTCATGACACTGCCCCTTCAAGGTTGATATATCTTCCTGAATCTTCTTGATCCTAGAAACCAGCTTCATAGGGTTAGCCTGCAGAACCCCAAATCGAATTTAAGCATAAAGGTAAGAACTTGGAAGTGCCCATGATTGGTTTTTGCAGGGAATCAAAGAAAAATGAAGGAAGGAACATGGAAAAGGTTGAAAAGAGTAATGGGGTGTTATGGTGTGCTTACATTGTAAGGGTAAACCTGTTGAAACTCCATTTCGAGGCGGTGATGAACCATAGCAAGATCGTGATTGGCTTTTGTGAAAAGGGTCAAAAGCCCATCTGTTGCTTGGTGGTATTGATGCCCCATTTTGCTTCACGCTGCAATGGTGAGTACTCAGTTGAATGTTTGTAGTGCATTTGCAAACTCATGTAGTTACAATTTATAGGAGCCAAAACAAATTCAAATATTCAGACAAAAAGAGGGAGAGAGAGAGAGAGAGAGAGAGAAACTCTTTTTATTGTTTCAATAATAATCCAATATTTTTACTGAAAAATTATGAGATTTAATTAAATCTTTTAAGAAATAATTCACTAGATAATTCATAGAAAATTTTTTATGGGAATCACATTTAACTGAATAAAATTATTTTCATAACCTATTAATTATGTAATTTTCAATTTATGAAATAATTTTTGTAAAAACTTGTTTTTTTAGCCAAATTAGTCTCTTAAAATAATTTTTAGAGTCAATTTACATGTTTCTAAATACTAGAGTCAATTTTAATAAACTATTTTCACTAAAAAAATAAGTGTTAAAAAAATTATTTTATTAAATAAAAATTCATGATATCATCTCATATATTTAAAAGGCCACATTTTGTTTTTTGGTTAAATTAAATAAGAGCATTTCAGCACAAGGACTAACACATCCCACAAAAAAAATTCAAAGACTATTTATTGACTTGAAAAAAAATTGGGTCTATAAAAAATTTTTAAGGACCATTTTGAATATTCACTTAATAATAATCTATTTACAAATTTATAAGAAAATTAAAAAAAAGTAATTATTTTGAAATTGATTTAAACCAAATATAAACTAAATATGTTCAGATTTTGAACAATATCAGGTTTTATTGAACCATTTCCTGCTCTTGCCTTTTTTTTTTTTTAATTGGATTTGATTTAGTTATGAAAAGTGACCTCTATTTGTTACTGATATTAAAAAGTCTTATTTTAAGATAATTATTATAACAATGCTCAAAACTGATTGATCAAATTTTCTTGTCTCTAAAGCAAAACTGGTTGATAAATTTTTGTTGTTTCATTTATATAATGCTAAATTGATATATTAGTATTGTATGTATTCATCTCATGCAGTTTGTTTATAAAAGCTACAAGCGATTTTCAAATAAAATATTTTTGTATAATAAAATCATAATATTGTCATTAAATGAGAAAAAAAGATCACTGAAAAGTCAACAAACATTGACACATAAGGTATAATATGACAGATTTAAAATTTAATAACACAGAGAAAATATTAGCAGGTGGTTGGGGGGAAACATTGCTAAGGTTATCAAACAAGCATGTCATTTGGGTATACACAGACAGGCAATAAAGGCTTTGAGAAAACTCCATTGAGCTGTCTTGAAAATTCCCCAAACTCTGTTTCAACTTATACACAGACAGGCACTATATCATTAGACAAACTAAGTATTCCAACGGATAAACTATTTGTAGCAGCTCAAAGTTCACAATCTCCTATGAGTCCTAATAAAGTTCGATGTAGCCATAGCAATAGCAGTTGAGCAAGCATAGACTCCAACTGAGCAAAGGGATGCAGATACCAATAGAAGGGCTTTCCAATGTGTCCCAGACACCACAATTGCCAATGCCACCAATCCAACTGCTATAGCTGAAAAAATATTTTTCCAAGATTGAAAAGCTTTCAATGCACTTCTACACTCTTTGCAATGTATGACATGTCTAAAATATCTATTGGCTAAATTAGGAGCATGCATTTCACCAATGCCTCCCTTAGCAGGTGAAGCAGCTGACATTCCTGCAATGAGTCCAGCAGGTGCATGCTCAACCACTGCAGGTTCTTTTGGTAAGGAAATAGTGTTGTGACCAAAATGATATGGCATTCCATTCCCAACTTTGTCCATCCACTTTCTGTATTCAGCAACCCATGTATCTGATGATCTTAGATTAAAGTATAGTTCCTTTGTGGGGACCTTTTCTTTTATCAAAGTTTCATTTTGGGATGATAAGAACCCCATGTCTTGCTCAAACACTTTGCTTGCATTTTGATGGAGATACCATTTGGGGAACAGTTTTGATAGTGGAAAACTTTTTGTTCCTCCAAACCTCACTATCAACATGGATTTCCCTTGTCCAGTTGGTCTACATAGGAACAAACCACTGAAGTAGTGTTTTTCACCACTTTTATCAACAATTTCTATGTTGTTTTGAAGAACACAAGGAGCTTCAAACCTTAAACGGTTAGGCATAGATCCATCTTTCTCTTTGCCCCACCAACCTGCAAAACCTCTATCAGTTCTTTCAGTCACCTCAAAACAAAGTGGCTGTGCATCCTCTCTTTTTGCACTCATATCTGTTCTATCATGTGAGATTGGGATATGAGCAGGATCCATCAGATTTTCTAGAAGAATAGAGTGATCATATGGGAGTTCATGAACTGTTGAAATGTCTTGAAATCCTGGCCTTGCAAAGTTCTCAAACCAAGGTATTTTATCAACATTTGGAGTTGTCTTTTGAGACATCCATACCCACACAACTCCTTGAGAATCTCTCACCTCATATGTTTTAACACAGGCAGATCGAGGGATTTTAGCATCAGCTGGAAGCTGTAGCCAATAGAAAAATAATAACGGTCTTGTTAACATCAGCCCTTATATTTTGCATTAATCTCAGATGAAATTGTCACACATTGATTAATTAGCCAAGGATAAACTGTAACCAACCTGAGGTATCTTCACACATTTGCCTTCACCTTCAAATTGCCATCCATGGTATAGGCACTCAAGCCTTCCATCAATCAACTGGCCTTCTGATAGCTTTGCTAACCTGAATAAAACAGAAGATTAAATGTCCAGCAATTTGACAAATATGGAATCAGAGATTTTGACAGATTGAAAACTTTTGCAGGGTGTTTTTATCTCATTTGGCATCTAATTCAACTGCTATATCTGCTAAGAATGCAAGTTTGCTAATAAAAATTAATAGCAGAAGTTGATATGAGCGAAACATCATACATTCAGAAGAAACATGAAATCTAAACTATCAGTTCTGACCAGTTTTTAAGCCAAACATAGGCTCAGGCTCACTTTAATTCCACAACACCTTGACACCAAACTCATCCCTCTTCATTGTGGCAGTCGTGATTAAAAGTTCTGTTTATTAATAGTTTCTTACTGTGAGGTGTATTGACATGGAAGTGTTAATATTGCTATAAAAAAAACAACAGTAAAGTCCTATGCCTACAACAACGATGTCAAGATCCTTATTCATGCCAAGCAAATTCCCAACTTCATCATCTCCAATCTCCTAACACGTGCATTGATTAATGCAATTAAGCTACCAATTGAGAAAAATTGAGCATAGAATCAGCATTACTAGCAATCAATCAAACTATAAGTTGCTTTATCTTAATTAAATAATGAGATTCTCATGTATTCCTAATGGGATCTAAACAGAAGCCAGTTAAAAGAGCAAACTCAATTAAAAGTTCAAACTTTTAAAGTTGAAACTTAGAATCAAGAAACCAAGAAGAAGAAGATCTTGTTTACCTATGAGGGCAGCGATCTTCATAACAGTTAAGCTTTCCATTGCCATCTTTGAACAAAACTAGTTGCTTGTCAAACACTTTGAGACCAAGCGGTGCATCATCAGGCACATCATGAGTAAGGTACAAAGGGTACCATTCTTGTGTCCAATCATATTCTACAACCACCTTCTCATCTTTCTGCCCCTCTTCACTGGAAAGGTCAACAAGAACAACCTTCTGATCCTCCCCATCTTTGTGATCAACCAAAGGTGCACCTTTGAGGGCACCACACATGTGATGCTGCTTTTTCCTGAATGTAAATGATAATGGTCTAAGTTTAAATGGTTGAGAAGTTAGAGTGCAAAGTGGCACTATTGAAGAGTTGTGTTTGCATGGCATCGTTGAAGGCAAAGCCAGCGAAAATGGGTTGGCCAAAGCCATAACAGTGGTGGTGCGTGGCAATTAGGTTGGAGAAAATAGAGTAAAAAAATTAGATTTTAGACTTGTGATTGTAGTGTACACAAGAAATTGGTATAATGTAATGTCACATGGCATGAAAAGGAAGGTTTAAGGAAGTGTGAAGAAAATTGGGAACTGAAGCAAAAGGAGATGATAATTTAATTTGTCATCATTCAATAGGTGTTGCTTAGAGGACTCAAAGCCATTTCTGGCCACACAATCAATTTGGACACTGCTCACCAAACCCCGAATCAATCTATTTGCTGTTTTGCTTTACAATTTGGTCGGGTAACTTCACTGTACATGTATTACTTTTCTAGTTTCTTAAATTATACTGAATTTTAATCTTTATAAATTATTTTTTATTTTAATTAATTGTTTATTTTACTTATTACATTATTATGCGTTAACTTTTATGACATCTTACTTTTTCTCTAGATTACATTAGCAAAAAAATCAAAACTAATAATTTTTAAAATAAAAATAATTTTATAAAAATCATAATAAAATTTTGATATGTTATGAGAGATTAAAATTGATATATTTAACTATATTTTTTAATCTATTTTCTTATTTCTCTATTTGCTCCTCGCGTTTCCAATTCCCCTCAAATTTTATCCCTCATCACGCTTTTCCTTAAAAGTTGAAACTTTTAAAATATTTTCTTCCCTTCATTTTTTGTTTCATTTTATTTATTTCTTTTTTGGGGTCAAACTTTTAAATATTTTTTTTCTTAGAGATATGGCCATAGTCGTGGACATGTCGGCCCAAAGGTTAAAGCCGTTAAAAGGCTTTTGTTTTAATCATCAAAATTTTTCTTGACCAAAAAAAAAATCGTCAAATTATGCTTTTCGTCGTTATCGACTTAAAAGTTGTAGCGCATGCAAATGTTCATTAAAGAGTGAAAGTTACATCTGAAGCTGTTAAGAAGCAGTTTGAATTTGAAGTTAAATGTTTTATTTATTAAGCAATTTTATAATTGTAACAAGTAATTTTTCCAGTATTGTGTAAATTAAAAGGGTATTTTATAATCTTTTCTACGTAAAATAATTATTATCTTTTAGTATTAGATAGTATTATTAGTGATTTATTTAAAAAGGTCTAAATATTTGTAATTTTTAAAATATTAAAAAATTATAATTATTAATTTTAAGAATGTATATTATATCCTCTCAAATTTACAAATATCATAGAAAGTACATATAAATATAAAATACGATATCATTGATTATATAAAAATAATTTTAAGGAAAGTAAATAATAATAATAATAAAACTATACCTCAAAAATGGGTTTGTGCGTAGCACAGGTATAAACACTATGCATAGCATGTGTGATCGCATATGTTCTTTACTTTGGACATGTATTCCTTTTTATTAGTTTTGGATATTTTAAGGGCTTGTTAGGTCTTTTTGTTTTATGGTTTAAACCTTCCTCGGGTAGAAATAATTAAATCTTTTATTCTCACAAAATATATCTTAGTTTGTTTCACGTTCATTTCTTTCGTATAATATAAACAAGCTCTTTGTTTTGTTGTCACCCCTTTTATGATTTTCTATGCATTGCAATGAAGTGTTTATAACCTGAAAAAATCACACTTTTTCGCTAAAGAGGTTAGCAACATTGATACAAATAATTTTTTAGAATTGTAGAAAAAAATACTAAATTATTACTTTAGTCTTTAATTTTACAATTCTTCTTAATTTTATTCTTAAATCATTAAAAAATTTATTTGAGCCTTTATATTGTTTAATTATATATAATCATGCTAATTCTTATAATTACTCAATATCAATAATAATTGAAAAAATCATGTATTTGAGATACACATATCACTTTCTAAAGTTTAACAGCTAATTATTAAAATTTGTGTTCAAATTCACCTATCTCACAAAATCATCATAAATTTGTCATATTCTCTCCCATATATCTTAAATTTTTATCCATGTCCATTATCTAACCTTTAACATCGGCCCAATTGACACTTTATATACAAAAAAATATTAATAATACATTATTTTTAAAATATTACTTGTAATTCATTTTTTTATTTTTAAAAAATTAATTTATGAATAAGTATTTTAACATTTTAAAAAATAGACCAATTATGAAAAAATGTGTTCAAAAGTGTATCCGAAAGAGTATCTTATGACTATTTCTCATAAATTAGTATTTAATGTGTGATGAGAATAATTTTATTATTATTGATGCCTATTAATAATAAGAACTAACATGATATATTTCTAAATAATTCAAAAACTAAAATAAAATCTTTATTAAACTATGGAGGAAACTGAAAAGGTGTAAGCTACCCATGCTGTAGTGATAGTAATTGCATGCCCGAAGGAGGAGACCCCAAAACTGTCAACTTAGACGCATTATTATTTTCCATTTTAATTAAAAAAATCTATGATTAATTTTCTTAAAATTTGATTAAATGTATATTTAAAAACATATTAAAAATTCTATAAATATGAATTTAACATAAAAGTTATGACACTAAACTAAACCTAGATTCATATATGAATTTAACATATATAAAAGTTATAACATTAAATTAGATTCATATGCAATTTAACCCGAAACCTAACACAATAAATTTCACAATCCACTCCGGTGTATAAGTTCAAGAACATCAGTGATGATAGTATATATTTGGAAATTGACAGCATAAGTGTAATGCATTAGGCGTTGACCATTGAGAGTGTATCAATATTCTATAGAAACCTGAAATCCAATTACCATTTGTGTCTCTAATCAAACCACCAAAACCTCCTGTAAGTGTGGTTTGAGTCTTAATGGCTGTGAAAAGAGAGTCCAAAGTATCACTGGTGAAGTGTACCAGCTTGGATGATGGAGAGAAATGGGTTTGGTCAAAGCCATGGCTAGTGTGTCATGGTTTGGTTGGTAACTGAAAAATGGAAAGGGTGGGGAAAACAAAAGGAGGATAGAAAAACGCCTGAGACCTGTAAGTGGTGCATAAGAAAGTGATGAAGCAAACCATGTAATGCAAGGTTTTGAGAACTGCCAAACAAAGGAGCAAGCAGGGAATGCCTAGTTAAAAGGGATCGAAAGTCTCTTCTGTTTTCCATGTTGATGTTGCTTTGATGGCTCTCGTGCAATTCCTTGCCACGCAAACAACTGTGACAATAGTCACCCAACACAAATGACTTGTTTATGTAACATTTCATTCTTTTTGTCTTATCTTTAATGGCAATGCAACACTTAATGCCTTTTCTTCCTTGTCATAATTACACTCATCTAATTATACTTAAATTTTGAATCTCTTGGTTTGTTTAAATTATTTCATGGGATAAATACCTCATCTTAGGTGAACATTAAGTTAGACATCATATTAACTTTTTGTTTAATTTGTATAGCAAAATCCTGTTAGTCTATCTAAAATGTGGTTATTTACCTCACGGGATAATTTAGACAAACCCAAAACATATATAATTTTTTTAATAAATAATAGGTGTTATTATACAAGAAAAATATATAAAATAAGAAAAAAGTGTAACTTTCAAATCAAACAAGATCTAAGTATAATTACAACTAATCTAGAAAGAGCTGAATGTAATTATATCTTTTTCTTTTCTGGATTTATTTATTCAGTGGTGACGCTGGAGAAAGCATTAATTGACAATGGTTGCATGGCAAATTTTGATAAAAGTGGCAGCGGATGTAGGGGGTAGTGATGCTTTCAATGTGGTTAGTTGTGAAATTGGATCTTAATTCTTACTTTACTGAATCACAATATAACCTCTTCAGTTTTTATTCTCTCTCTCTTGTTGTCCTGGTGCTAGACCATAAAAGATTAAATATGGTGGGCCTTTATAGTTAGCGGTGGAAATGAAATTAAGAAGTATACTTGTGCACTTCATTTTTCTGATATGTGAAGTAGGAAAGAAAAGAAGAAAAAATATGTCAAATAATATGATATAATAGATAAAAAGATTGTAAAAAAATAAGGCGGAAGAAAAATAGAATGTTATGTAATCACTGAATTAAGAAAGTCTCTTTTCTGAAAATTCCAGCACCATTCCTCAGCAGAGAGATTTTTATTTACACCTGGCATAAAACTACCCTCTTATACGAAATCGTGTTTTGTATAATTTTGAGTTTCTCTTTCATTTTTTTAGTGTATTCTTAAGATATATATGTAAAAAATATATATAAAAAATAAAAGGGATAAAAACGATGCTTCATACTTTATGCTTGTGAGAAGGACACTGTTGAAATAAGTATTGAAGACTAAGTAGTATTTACTATCTTCTAAAGTTACAAGGAAGCATCTTAAATGCCCAAGAGCTGGATGGAAAATGCATGAACATAACCTCTAATATTTATTCTACCTACTGTCATGCCACTGACTTCATCCAACCACATAAATGTAGCTTTAAATTGGGTTTATTTCCTGGTCATATCTGGTGTATCTCTATTATCTATCATTATCATGTGAGACTGCAACCACTGAGCTTGTACTCAACAAATAAAACCTTGGTTCTATGGAGAAAAGAACAGTGGTTTTTCCTTTTCCTATAGCACTTTCTTGTCTTTTTATCTTCTTTGCTGCTTCTTCTTTTTCTTCTGGTAGCCTAGTTTTCAACTTCTATGCACCTTCATGCCCAAATGCTGAGATTATTGTAAGAGACACGGTCAGATCATTCTGTTCTGATGATCCTTCAATTCCTGGAAAGCTCCTTCGCTTGGTTTTTCATGATTGCTTTGTGGAGGTTAGTATAATATTAAACTAAGAAGCACTTTTCATTTTCAAAACATGAATTTTATCGTTATGATATAATATTTCTATGTTATATTAATTAATATTAATTTTATACTATGTATTATAAGTGTGTCGTATCTATGATTTTTAAAATTTGTTCATTTATAATTCATGTCTCGTGTCGTATCTGTGTTTCCTAGCTATTAGGCCTACACTTGTTCTCTTGCACTCCATTATGCCTCACAGTTTGGGAAAAAATCTTACTCGGAATGTGCTTTCTTCTGTTCTTGTTCTTCCTTTTTGTGATGGGAAATTCAAATGGGTTTGAAGAGGGGATTCAACTATGAATTGATGTTTCATAATATGTAGGGATGTGATGCTTCTTTGATGCTACAAGGGAATAATACAGAACGAAGTGATCCAGGAAACAGGTCTGTTGGAGGATTTTCAGTTATAGAATCAGCAAAAAGAGTCCTTGAATTCCTTTGTCCAGGAACAGTTTCTTGTGCTGACATAATTGCATTGGCTGCTAGAGATGCTGTTGGAATTGTAAGTTATCATCATCGCATTGCTGATACTCTTCAACACTGTATTGACATGTCATTTCGTAAAGTAATTTTTTGAGGGGTCTTGAAAACAGGTTGGTGGTCCTGTGGTTCTAATTCCAACAGGTAGAAGAGATGGGAGGGTTTCCCTTGCTTCAAATGTCAGACCCAACATTGTGGACACAAGTTTTACAATGGATGAGATGATTAACCGCTTTTCAAGTAAAGGGTTGTCTTTATTTGACCTTGTCATCCTTTCAGGTGCATTATCATTCCAAGGGATTTTTAACTATATTTGGCATGCTTCTCTTTATTTAGTGTCATTCCTTTTATTTTCAGTCTCTTCCCCATCCCTTTATTATTATTAAAATTAAAGGGGTAAATGAAATGACCATGAATTTCTTCATGTTCGAGGTAAAATCTAATTAAGGCATAAAGCAAGACAACACATGTTAGGTAGGAAGAATTGAATTGTTGATGCTTTGTAGATAAGAACCTACTCACCACATTTATTAAAATTACTATTCAGCAGTAGGTGGTTTGTTTTTCTTCCTAGATTTTAAATATTCAAAAACCAAATATGATTGGCATAAAGATGTAATAATGTAAAAGATTGAATGATGCTTTAATACAACACTAAATGCTACATAATGATGCTTTGACCTTGCAGGAGCTCACACCATAGGAACATCTCATTGTAACTCATTTAGGGACAGGTTCCAAGAAGATTCAAAGGGGAAACTGACACTCATTGACAAGGCTCTTGACAGTAGCTATGCTGAAGAGCTAATGAAAGAGTGTCCCTTAAGTGCAAGTCCATCTGTGCAAGTTAACAATGATCCTGAAACATCTATGGTCTTTGACAACCAGTACTATAAAAATCTTATGATGAACAAGGGGTTGTTAAAGTCTGATTCTGTTTTGTTAAGTGATAATAGAACAAGTAAATTAGTGGAGGACTTGGCAAATGATCAAGAGTTTTTCTTTGAAAATTGGGGCCAATCTTTCTTGAAGCTCACTAGTCTTGGAGTCAAAACAGGTGATGAGGGTGAAATTCGAATTTCTTGTGCATCAACTAATGCATAAAAAAGAAACATGTAGTGTAGCAACCAAGGTTCGTTAAGCATAGATGTATAATGGAGAATAAATGCCACCTAAATAAATTTTATACCATGTAAAAAAGCATATGCAGACGGCTTAATTGTGTTGACCTGCTGCTGTCTCTGTTCTTTCTTGATGTCTGTTTTGTATTTTTTTTTTATTTTTATTGATGTAGCATAACAAATATTGATTTATATTAAATAATGCAAATATTTGAAGCTATGTATACTAGATATTGGTCTATTTTAGATAAAATTCTTAATAAACAATTCTAAATTTAAGTGAGGTTACAGTTTGGTTCTTTAACTTTATTTTTATTTAATTTAATCTTCTAAATTTAATTTAAGTTTTATTTTTGTTCTTTAAATTTTTTTATTTAATTTAGCACTCTAAATTATTTCTTTGTGCTAAAGATTGCTGATAATTTTTTTTTATCTTTCAATTTTTACTGGTTCAGAGCATATTTTAGTATTTGACATTGGCATGGGTTTATAAAGATGATTATTAATAATAATAAAACATAAATATGTAATATTTGATAAATGGTAATGTGTTGACATTGATTGTTAGGTATTTACAGTAAAAATAAAAATGAGTAGTCAGTTTGGAATGATTTGTGAAAAGTCAAAGAAGTTTTCAGTGATGATTTGAAATATTTTTACAAGAATTTAGTAGTAACATTGATTATTACATGAGTAGGGCTTGTGACAATAAAATAGTACCTATTAGGATTGACTCTAGCTGTGCACATAAATCAATCAACTTCATGAGTATTTCTCCATTAATTAAGAGTTGATTATTTTGTGTAAATGATTTTCTACTAAATACTACTGTTCCATGATACTTCAAATAGAAAAGATACCGATATGAATTTTTTTGCAGTTTTGAGGTAAACTGCAGAACTCACAGTGTTTTTTTTTTTTTTTTACTTAAATAAATTTAAATAATTTTATTAAAAGGTGTTGTTAACCTTCTATCTTAAATAATTTTACGAATCATTTATTTTATTTATTAGAAAAACCCCATTGAGGTCAACCAACCTGAACTTGGTTGGAGTAGGGCCAATGTTCAGAAGAGTTGATTCCACAAATTAAAATAGCAACAGATCATCATTGGTATTTGAGTCTATCTCCTCTTCCAGTAGAGATCAATGATATACATACCAAAGAGATCATCAAACATTATTTTATAACTAAAAATCCAGCTTGCCCAGTTTGGCATCTACCTCTGCAAATATTGTTTTCAAAAGACAATAAAAAATATGAATAATAAAATGGTAATCCGCATTGTAATGTCAGCAGCATTGATCCCTCAAAGTTAATGCCCCAAAACATTGGTCATGATTGAAGAATCTTCACGCAAAGAAATAATGTTATTTTACCCTTTGATTCTAAAACCAAACTACTAATTTTTTTTTTAAAAAAAAGAACCACCTTTATTCATCCATGATTTTATCCCTTAAATCCCAACCTGGAAGAATCAAACTACTACATCCACATTGTATATTCAAACTACCATTCATTTGTTCGAAACCAAATTCAATTTGCTCAAGTTCAAACCAACTTTATAGATCGCAAATGCCAAATGGTGTCTATAGACATTGATTGTAAAATTAAAAAAAAAAATTTACTAAAAAGTTTTATTAATATATTCTATTATAATTTTCATACAAATATACTTTCTAAAAAAATCATTTATTTATTAATCAGCATCATAGATTGATTAATATGACTTATATTGTTATGATCTGAAATATCAGAAGCAGCTTAGGACTTTATGATACCTTTTAACTACAACATAAAAGAGAACAATGGTGTAAAGCAAGGAATGTCCAAGATTCATGGCACCCATTATTTTATGCTCTCACCCTTTACAGCAACAGAGATTCCAAGCACCACATATACGCACTCGTCTTTTCATCATCCCAAATTTCGCTTACTAAGGTACCTTCCCTTCCCCATTTCATCAAAAGTGCTCCAAACTCCAACCTCAAAGTAAAGCTATCATAATCCCTCATAAACTTTTAGTTCACCGGTAAAGATGCACACTTTAAGATTTTACAATGGTGGTTCAATTATTGATTTCTAATTATGTATACTTGTTAACAAGTTTCATTTTGGACAGATTTTAATTAACTTCATAATCAATCTATTCACTTTACCAACACATCATCGAGGGCACCCTCGTTTAATGTAGTCAAAATTTGTACAGTGACCATGTGACACTTCAAATAAATTGTTGGATAAATCGATATGCATCCATTTAATGATTCATGTTACACTACGTTATTCAATATAGATATTTTGATTAGAGGACTTTTTAGCCCTTTCAATAATTTTTTTTCAGAAAACATTAATTAATATTTTAGCGACAATATTAAGAATTAAAAGTAAAATTCTTTTACTAAGAAATATAAATGTTATATTCTTCTTATAATTTTTAATAAAATTTTAATTTATTAATTCTTTAATATAAAAATATTTTATACTTTTAATATATTTCAGTTTAATTAAATTAGCTATCTGAAAACCCTCTTGGTATCCTATGTTCCAGTCTTTATTCTTGGTATCTTGATTAGAATATTTAGCAAACTAAGAATTATTTTTCAATTACATCTGTGAAATGGGGAATTAAACCCAAGAAATGTTGTTTTTTTTATATAAAAAACAAATTTAAAAAAAAAAACTTTATCACTAAACAAATATCTAAGCATTCAACTCGCCGTCGTCAGCAGACTTATGGTGATTCACCTTGGCCAATCCAACCCCACGCGGCACAGGCGGCGCGTGCAACGAATCAACAACAAACGCCGACGACATTTCCATTTGACAAACCCTAACGGCACCGATCAACCGTTCCGGCAACTCCTCCTGCGTCTGCGCTTCCACAAGAAACCCCATATCGATGGTAACGGCGGTTACGTACCCCAACGCGAGGTGCAGAATCGCGTTTGCGATTGCACTGCTTCCAATATCAACGTCGATTTCGAAGTAGTTAGAACCTCTATGGTAATTGCACGTCAAAGCCTTCCCCAACAAACACGCGGTATAATTCCCCACCGCTTTTTTCACGATCCAGGGTCCCTTCACGATCCGATTAACCAGCTTGAACCGTTGGTTCCTGAACCCTTCGTCGCCATTAACGAACCGGTTCAGTAGCGAACCGGTTTGAATCGGTTCTTCCGTTGCGAAGTAGAACACCGCGCTGTGGTACTCCTTTCCGCCGGGAATCTGAAGGTTCATGGCGAAGACGAAGCTCTTAAGGGACTGACCTAGGGCTTGTGATTTGCGGAGCGCGTGCATCACGCGGTTGTCAGCGCGTGAGAGTACGTGGTCGAGTTTGGTACTGGATTTGAGCCAGTCCATGCCGGCCGGCGAGAGGAGGTAGTCGCCGGCGGGCCATTTTTGTCGTTTTGTGAAGTAATTGTTTGAACGGAGAGAGAAGAGATCGCCCGGCGGCGAAGCCCAGCCGTTGGTTCCGGCGTGAAGGTCCACGTGGCGTAGGGAACCGCCGGCGATTGACTCGGAGATCCAGTCGACAATGCCGCCGGCGGGATTGGGACCGGAGCTCCGGCGTGTGTTCGTCGGCGGGGACATTTGTGGAGCATCTGTTTGCGCACTGTGTATAGAAAGAACTGAAGTGCATTTAACATGGTGTGGAGGGGTGTTTTAGCAAAGGATAAAATGAAGGAGGGGCGAGGAATGAAAAAAGAATAATTAGAAAAGAAACCCTAATTTAATGAAATTACAATGGAGCCCCTATTTGCATATGCCAACTATTAGCCCTCGACGATGCCTATTTGCTTTTACTTAGGAAGTACTATTTGAAAATATTTGTTTGCTTCAAAGCTCAATTATTAGAAGACTTTTTATATTGAAATAGGATGTTCATAACTCCACAACAAAACTTTTTAACACAATAATGAAATTATTTGCTTTAACAACTATAGAATTTTGTTTAAACATTGTAGTAATTCAAGGAAGAGTTGGAAAAGGATCGAGCCAATTATGCACCATCACATCAACTAATTGCCAAATTATTGTCATCATTGGAAGCAGTTGAACTAGGTTCGAAGGTTAATCATTTTTAAATATTACTTGCTATTATATTTATTTATTAATTTATAGCTTTATTAATGAAATTATTAATTAAAAAAAAAAAGGAATGATGAAATGGGAATAAACAGAATAAGAAAGAAGCACAAAGCTGGGAGTGGGAGCAAGGCATGCATATTATTATTGACAAAGCTTGCACCTCTTTTATTTGTTTTGAATTTTTAGATTTGAATTGCTGCGTAAATTCAACACAAACTTGTTATTTGAACAACAACAAAAGAAATTATGACAGATAACGTCATATTTTTATTTTATTTTTTCAGGCTAAAATCAAATGCCACAATATTTAGTTGTCAACTTCTGTTGTTTAGAAAACATTTCCCTATTCAACGATACGCATTGAAGTCTGGGGTGGGCGCAGTTCAAACACCTGGAAATCTTTAGGACCTTGATGATGTTCATGGCGACACGTATCAATCATAAAGTAGAAGAGTGCATGTGAAGAGAATTTGTTGATAAACACTTGATGTGATGAATAACATTTTCTTAACCACAACTTAAAATTAAAGATCTGCCTTTTGTTTAGTATAAATTGACTTTTCGAAAAATGTAACACAAACTATATATATAAGCTGAATCAGTACATTTTTAAACCTTCGTACATGTACAGTTTGGTATGCTCTAGCATTTTCTATAATTTAATTAGATGGCTAAAAATTTTCGTAAAACTTTTTTATGCTCAAATAAAATTAATAAAATCATATTAATATAATAATCATGAAGCCAACGATTGCAATTATGGAACAGCTTATCCATAGACACACTTGGAGCAGCAAACCGAGAAATATTTTAGTAGATTCACTCAGTAAAGTCTAGAGATATTTGAGAGGACCAAGTTAATTTATATTAACTAAATAAATTGTTATACATAACTTCTTTTTAGACAAACTTATAATAGATTTTATGAAATTTTATCAGTCCTCCTGTCTTGTGTATATATATATATATATATATAACATAGTAATATTTTTTTGTGGTTATTTTTGTCTTGAATTAGTTTTTAAATTAAAAAATGTTCAAATAAAGAAAGTTAATCATAAGGGAGTATATGATATAAGAGGAGGATTCGAATTCATACAAAAATATATTAAAAAATTCTAAATTATATCTAAAATTTAATTGAAATGCACTAACAATTTTTTACAACCCAGCCATAAATCGTTATATAAGAAAGAATCCTTGACTTTTGTGATAATTAATATAAAGATCATACTGTATATTTAATTAGTTGACAATGTGAAAAACGTTTAAACTGATGATGCTTTAAAGTTAAAATCAAAATTACATACAAGTATTTTTTTTAATATTAACTAACTTATGTTAAATATGTGCTACTCATTTCTTAAAAAAAAATTCATGCTTCATTGCTTGATATATAGAGTTTGTTAGTAAAAATATAATGAAATGAATCATATTTTTTAATTTATAATTGTCAAACAAATTAAATTATTTTATATGTATATTCATATATCATATAAAATGAATATTTTAAATAAAGCCTTACAACATTTTACACATCCTCGCCTGTTTAATACCTTTCTGAGAACGAGGTGGCCATGTCATTATATTAGTCTTTCAAATATTTTACCACTAATTTAGTCTTCAAATATTTAATCTATCAACAAATTAGTCTTCCAAAACCTTAAATACCACCATATTAATTCTTGTAAAGAGTTAAAATGGTGAAAAAAAAAGGAGTCTAATTTAGTGACAATTAAGTGCATGGTTGGATTGAGTTTTAACAAACAATTATTTTTTTAAAAATGAGTTATATCAAACATAAATTATATCTTTGAGAAAATAGAAATATATAATGTCAACATATTAGTCCTTGTAGAAGAATAAAGCACGTATTATAGGGTTGGTTTTATGGACCGTATGGGTCCAATTCTAACCTTTTTTTGTCAACAGATCCATCTTGATAGAGGGAGTGTTATTCTTTTATCTATCTCATTCTACTAACCCTTTGTGGGTAGTAAGATCTATTCGAGCTGAATAGCAAGTTTCTTAATTGGATCTTCATTTTTGAGTCTTGTACCAAAAGAAGGGATATAGGTATAACTACTTTTCAATAATAATATTACAACATTTACATGTTCTCATTCTTTTAAGTGCTTCTTGTGGTTTTGAATAGCATAGGTTCCTGAATCATGAAGGTCAATTCTACTTATCATTATAATCATCCCAATCACCAAGGTCAAATTTAGAGTCATCCGAACCACTCTTTTGATAGGAAAAATGAAAAACTGGAAACGAAATACACACTATCAAAAAGCATCGAAGTTTTTCTTTTACCACACGATTGTTTCTTTAGTATCTCCGGCCAATACTTGTGACATTCAAATTTCACTTCAAACAGCTACATATAAGTTAACCAAACTTCCTGAAATACAATCCAATATAATCGACTGATATTGAATGGCACTGACTCATCTTGCACTACTCGAAATAAGTCATACAAGCAAATATTATTGAAATATTCACGCACAACTATAAAACGTTAAATTACTAACCCCATAACTGCAACTGAAGTTCATTATAAAAGTGATAACAATTGCATCATTACATAATGCATACCCTAACAGATACTTGTTTTGGTGACACTTGCATTACATCAGAGGACCGGCTTATCGCTCATTTGTTTCCAAATTTTACTACATATACTCTACGAAGGTTTAGCAATCCCTTCCCTTGGCCATCACATAATCCCATAGTCAGAATTTAAGTGAACGACAAATATATCATCCATATTTCCCATTATCTATAAGCACCAGGCAGTGCCGGGTATAATTTGTGTGAATATCATTTGTGTATTAACTTGTACACGCCTACCTTAAAAATGCAACATTGACAAACCAAGAAAGATGAAAACTAAAGGAATAACATTTCTCTGTAAGCACAAAGAATGCTAGCAGCATACTTCTAACAACCTCTTTCTAACATACTCTTTATTAGAGGTTGAAATTTATTGAGACTCATGAAATCAAGCATATGACTAAATAGGAAATGAGACACTTAATTTTATGAGTCTCAATAAAGTTTAACCAGCAATGTGAAGAGTGTATTAGAAGGTATGCTTCTAGCATTCCTTGAGAAAAGGTTTATAAACCTAGCTAAAATCCCCAGATATTCACACAAATTATACACCGTGCTTCACTACAGACATCCAATAATTTAAGCGATGCCTTAGTTTAAGTCAAAATTTAATAACAGAGAACACACTCATTGTCTCTCCTAAATGTTTACATACTCTAAGCACAAAACTAACATATGAAATGAACTCAATTACAGCCTGACCACATTCCACATAGATTATTCAATTCTAGAAAACATACTTGCCCGGGGATTGTGTCGAAGGAAGCAAACAGCATCTTCTATAACACTAGTACTCAAAAATTAAAACAATCAAAACACCAATTTCAAAAATTCAATCAGCACACAAAATTCAGGTTAGCAAGTCACCATCTCCAACAAAAATTTAAACACAACATCAAAACAATAGAGGATTTTATTATTTTAAAAGGAGAACAAAACGAAACCACATTCAGCACTGTTATACAAGAAACAGAGAATTTCTATCCTCTGTCAACGATTATCTGAGATTTAACAACTTAATTTGCACAACATCACACAATTTCAAAAAGCACAATCAAAAACAATTTCACACAAATTCCTATCTAAATCAATAATTAAGTAAAGAAAATAGCTATTTTCGATAATAAAACAGGATATATTATATAGTTTACAGAAAATGAAATTAAATGAATACATTGTCGTAGGTCAGTGAGCCTTTCTTCTCTGTTGTTGCTGTGGTTGTTGTTGATGCTGTTGTGACTTGTTGTCAGTGGCCAATCTGTAAATCCAATAAACCTAAAGCAAAGAAGAAGAAAAAATGGTTACATAATAGAGAAAGAAAAACAAGAAGAAGTGGCATTAGATTAGGGTTACCAAGGCGAAGACGTGAACTGCGATTAAAACAACGACCAACAAAGGCACTGCATTGAGGATCCATGGATGGTCTATCGATTGGGACTTCGCCATTGAACACAGGGAGGAATTCGGGGTTTCGATTCGATTTGCAGCAACACGGTGTCGTTTTACTCAAACACGGATCCAACGGTTTTGTTTTCCATTTCGTAGTTACCACTGAGAGCGAGACTGTGAGAGTGAGATCTCTCTCTGTCTGTCTTGCCCGAACGAACGTCTCTTTCCCCTTACATCCCCCAATGAATCCGCTGAAAAATATTATAAAAGAAAAATATCTAATTTTAGTGGGAAAATTACAAATTAGTAAAAACCTTGGGTGAGGAATAAAAGATGTGGTTGGTCTTATACTACAATGATTTTTTGACTAAAAAAAATACAAATTTATGTGAACAAAAGCAACATAACTAAGAGGATTAAAAGAGATTTGTAAGAAAAATTTATTAAAAAATTTAATTATAAATAAGAAAATATTATTAATATACCCTTTTTGATTTTTTACATTTTACTTT